AATGATCCTTGAGGAAGCAATGTCCTGGCACTCATCAAATATGCGCTCCGCTTCGGTGGGTTCTGGGTCAACATAGACCCCCAGAGGGTCGATCCCTAAATCCTTGTTGACCTCATCTGGAGTGGAGCTGGTCTGTCCCTCATCCGGAACTCGGTCGGAGAAACCTTCTCGGAATCCTTGAGCATATCTAAGAGCGCTGGCCCTTGAGAACCGAGCATGAAGAGCCAGCATCCCACCGTTCACTCTGCTGATTGTATCAATCAGAGCAGTACGCTCGTCCAGAGCTCTTTTCTCAAAAGCCATCCGAGCAGACTGTTCATCAGCCAGAAGGCGCTGGAGCTCTGCCTTTTCATCTCTGATTGAATCACGCTCAGTCTGCCAGACGCTCTTTTTAAGCTGGAGGGCATCCTTCTCATCCTGAAGAGAGTCGTTCTCCTTCTTCAACACATCTCTTTCTTGTTCAGTTTTTTCAAGCCGAGCCAGTACCTTGGTATTCTTGCTGGCGAGAAGGTCGTTTTCTTTATTGGCTACCTCCAGGCTATCAGAAAACTTACGAGCCCTGGCGTTCCCCATCTCTACCTGCTTCTGCATAGCCATCATTCCGAACAAAGTCTGCATAGATGTACATTAATAACGGTTAAACCAATAGTCTAGTTGGGCGAAGGCAAGACCAAATAATATGAGAGAATTCATGAGTTGGAAAATAAAAGTCACCTCCATGGCAGATTGGGGAAAGCGGCTGAACACATCCTTCTGGGATAGGCCTTTCGCCGCCTCAAGGTCTTTCGGAGTCCACATGCTCCTATAGTACGCCATGGCGGTCTGGCTATCCTTCAGCATGGTCTCATTCGGTTTCACGAACGTCCCATCCGTTCGGGTGTACCGAGGGGCCCATGGTGGTAAAGTGGGAAGAGAAGGGGAGCCTGAAGCAGAAGCAGAGGCACCAGCTGCAATAGGCCCGGAGGGGGCAGGAGCTCTGACCGGGCGATGCAAGAAAGCACCCGGCCCGGAGACCCGGGTCCTTCTTATGAGAGGTTCCTCCTCAGGATCGACTCCACTATTAGGATGAGGCCTTTTGCCTCGTTCTTTGTCCCGAGCGCCCCCCGCGGCAGCAGGGGCTGTGGTAATTTGGGGAGACGCGCTCGAGTTGGCAGCAGGGGTGCTGACAACAGAGTCAATAGCCACCGTGCTAGGGATAGTGTCAGAGATGGTGGCTGAGGAAGAGGCTGATGCAGGAGAGGAGGTTGCCCCAGCAGCAGAAGTGGCTGGGGGAGTATTTTTCTTCCTGCCAAAAGAAGGAATCTGAAGCCTGCTCATGTTGTAGCTGAGGGATGAGAGCGCTAGGAGGTTGTCTGAAGTGAGGAGGTCTGAGCAGGAAGGAATATCGTTCAGAACGTATTTCTTCAAGTAATTACTCCTATCCCTGCAAACACTATAGCTCAAGTCATCACAAGGTATTCCTAAGGAGCGGCATAAGAAAGTACAAAAGCGGGGAACGCATGTTTCGCAGGGGCAATCATGTTTATGAGATTTGAATTTCTTATATGAGGAAACAGAACAGACGCCAAAGGCGCTCGGGATTGGGTAACCCTCTGCAGCCGGCGAAGACCAAGCCCCACTAATGCCCACGATGTTATCCCTCCAACCCTTTTCAGATTTGATTGTGTCCGTACATATGGACATCTTCTCGAACGGGTAGAGGTGGTAGAAGGGCTCGTTAGTTCGGATCTTACTGACCTTATAACACAGAAGAAGATCTATGAGGTCAAGGTCCAGACTTCTGTCACGAATCAACAAGAGCATAACGGATATGATTCTAAAGAAATTGGGGTTTACCTGCAGGGGGGATATCCCCAGTCTATTGAAGACATAACTAAAGAAGGGGTGCAGAGGGAACCTAACGACATTCAGTTGAAGGTTTGTAAATAAAACTTCGTCGGGCAGGAGGCCGGCACCGGTCATAATATTAACATCCTTAGGGCAAACCCTAACTTCGATGTTGTCAGGAAGTCTAAGTCTCATACGAAGAACATCTAGATCTACAACCATGGTGGAAGTGTTTGAAGGATCTAAAAGGGGTAAAAAAAAGCCTGCCGAAAGTAAAAAGGAACAAAACTAACCTCTGAGGTAGAAAGCAACAAAGAGCACTGCAAGACCGCTGGAAGAACGACTCTTGAAGGATTTCACCGGAAAAAGCTTAGCGCTGTTCTAAAAAGAGAGAGATTTGACTGATGATGAAGACGGTAAAAAGGCATGGAGTGGTATTCTAGAGCCTTATAAAGGCGAGGGGGACCCGAGGGCCGAAGCGTCGGGAAGGTGAGAAATTCATCGAGCCCCGGAACATTGATTCTGGATCTGACCGTTCGTTCCCCCATGTGGGTTTCTCGAGCCGTCAACGTCATGATGAGACGCCTTCAATAATTACCCCCTTATTAAACAAGGGGTAATTATGGGGGCAGTTGAGGAGGCCCGATAGGACATGGGCCGGATATGACTTGCAAACGCGGCATTTAGTCCGTACAGGTGGGTCAGGCCCATAAAAAGGCACTACCATATGGGCCGAACGCGCATAAGCCCATCAAAGAGGACCGGGACTCATGGAGGAACGGGCCTAGATCCAGCAGTCCATCGACATTTGTAAATCTCTATAAATAGGAGGAGTAAGGTAAAGAAAAGGGGATCTTTTTGGTTGAGATATAGGAATTCTAGAGAGAGAGTGGGGGAAGGAATTTCTTGTATCTTCAATTACAAATCTCAAAACAACATACACTTATACAAAAATATATATACAAATCTTAAATACAAAATTATATCATAGTTTAGTATTCAAATATATGTATAACAATATATTATATACAAAAAAAATTTATTCCATTCCTTTTCAGAAAAATTGCAAATCTCCATACAACATACAATTATACATTATATATATATATACAAATTACAGTTCAGTATCCAAATATATGTATAACAATATATTATATACAAAAATATTTTATTCCATTCCTTTTCAGTAAAATTACAAATCTTAAATATCGATTATGTATCAGTACAATTCAATATCCAAATATAAATTTATTTGAGATTTTAGGGTTTTGAAATAATTGACTAATTATATAGATTTTAGAGTTGTGAAAGTTAATTTTTTTTAACATGTTAGGAAAATATGTTGATGCTATATACAATTCATACGTGATACATGTTTTAAAAAGTTGTGAGAATAATAATTTGATCTCTCCAACTTTTGTATTGTATGCTGTTACAAAAAGTAAGTGATGGAATATGCAAATCTTCCTACATATATGTTGAAAGTATTTGTGATTCTTATTATTAATTTAGGAATTGTGAAATTGAATTGTGGAAGTTAATTTTTTTTAACGTGTTAGGAAAATATGTTGATGCTAGATGCAATTTATACATGATACATGTTTTAAAAAGTTGTAAGCATAATAATTTGACGCGCAAGTTAATTTTTTTTTTAACATGTTAGGAAAATATGTTGATCCTATATACAATTCATACATGATACACGTTAAAAAAAAGTTGTGATAATAATAATTTGATCTCTCCAACTTTTGTATTGTATGTTGTTACAAAAAATAGGTGATGTAATATGCAAATCTTCTTACATATATATTGAAAGTATTTGTGATTCTTATTATTAATTTAGTAATTGTGAAATTGAGTCGTGGAAGTTAATTTTTTTTAACGTGTTAGGAAAATATGTTGATGCAATATTCAATTCATACATGATACATGTTTTGATAAGTTGTGAGCATAATAAATTGATCTGTATGTTGTTACAAAAAGTAGGTGATGAACCCTGCCTTCAAATTTTTTGATTGCCAATAATCACTATTGGATTGCCGCCATATACGATAAACTTTGATATATCATTATGAATAAAGTTACAAGAAATTCAAAATAATAACTTAATACCTATAATGATCGGAGCTTCAGCTTCGGACTGTCAGAAATATTTTGGGGGATCCTTTTCGAAAATTTTAGCTTATCGCTGGAATATATGGTGATTTTTCTGACTAGATGTCATTTTGTTTGTTATGCCTCTTCGACCTTCACCAAGTGAGTTTTTTACACATAAACATAAATAACAGAGTTTTGGGTAAAGTTTTTTCATTGGATTTCAAATTTCAGAGAGAGATTTCCTATTTGATATTTCAGACATAGTATATATAGCAAACTTTTGGGGCATGTCAACTTTCCTTTTGGGGAGAAATTTAAAATTTAAAATTGAAATTCAAATACGATTTTGGAAAAATGCAATAATACGGTGCATAAAGAAGATGTATAAATTACGCCGGACTGGATGATCGGAGCTTCAGCTTTTCACCGGAATGGATGATCGGAGCTTCAACTTCTCACCGGAATGGATTATCGCAGCTTCAACTTCTCATCGGAAGGGGTGATAAGAACTTTAGCTTCTCGCCGAAATGTTTAGTGATTTTTCCGAACGGAGTTTCTGTACAAGAACCTTTTGTTCAAAAATCTTTATCTTTATGTGTCTAATATCTTGATTGCCTTCTTTCTAGTTTTCCTTTTCCCTTGGAATTCAGTTTGGATGTTTGAGAAGAGAGTTCTCGTTTGAACTTTACAGAGCCATTTTTCAGAATCTGTATATATATATCAGTATCAGTTTTAGGGGCAACTTTAATTTTGATTTTGGGGGAATTTGAAATTGAAAATTAAATACCGTATTATGTATAGAAAAGGTAGGAATGGTATATGAAAAACTACACTAACTACCCTTTTTATCCGCCCCATTTGCCACATCAGTCGAGTGGCCCACCACTGCACACTTTTGAGTGAGAAGCGAATGGAGTGAATTTCTTTCCAAACGGAATTGACCCGCCCCCATTTGCCACATCAGTCGAGTGGCCCACCACTGCACACTTTTGAGTGAGAAGCGAAAGGAGTGGATTTCTTTCCAAACAGAATTGACCCGAACCTTTTCTTTTCATTTCTTTTCATTTCAACCCACACGTCGAAACGGACACCCTTATAGCGACTAAACTTCGGGAGCAAGCCATTTTGTTGCCGCACCCAACTCTGGTGCGTATAGATTTCCAAGTGCCTCTCTCCAACCATCCATATCGATCTCTTCGTCGCAGACTTTTCTCTCAAGGCGTATCGATTGCAATCGCAAATGGTAAGTTAAACGTTAATTCCATTTTAGTAGACTGTGTAATTGCAAGTTAATAAATGTTCCATAAATTTGATGATTTTAAACTTGATTGGTGTATTTACTGTTGCACGAATTTTAGGGTTAGTTTAGTTAAGAAACCTTTATCGATAGATTTCTTGCAAATAAATCGCAAATGGTAAGTTAAATGTTAACTCCAGATTTCAGTACTTCTACTGTTTAATTGGACGTTAATAAATATTCGTTTAATTGGACGTTAATAAATATTCTATGAATTTGATGCTTTTAAAACTTCATTCGTGTATTATAAATTGTTTATCGATAGATTTCTTGCAAATAAATCGCAAATGGTAAGTTAAATGTTAACTCCAGATTTCAGTACTTCTACTGCTTAATTGCACGTTAATAAATATTAGTTTAATTGGACGTTATAAATATTCTATGAATTTGATGCTTTTAAAACTTCATTCGTGTATTATAAATTGTTTGAATCAATTTTAGGGTTTGTAGAGTTAAGAAACACTTATAATTGGTATGTTGTTTTTTTTTTTTTTATAATTGATTATTTGATTGCAGAATCTGGTATTTCAACTGCCAAATAGGGCCAAAGTGGTTCTTCCTGTTGGTTCTGAGAGCATTGATAGTATTAAGAGGGTGTTAACAAAAAAACAGGCAATACCTTTTGAGTCACAAGTACTCATCTACAATGGATTTCGTCTCGAAGGCCAACGAGATTTTGCGTCCTATGGACTTGTGGAGGAAGGATTTTGCGTCCTGGTTGATGTTGTTGATATGCGATTCAACGAGGTAGTTTTACTGGACTAGTTTTTGTTTGTTTGTTTGTTTGTTTGTTTCTATACATAATGTATGTGTGTTTATATATTTTATATGTTTTTATAGTGCATTGCCGTTGTAGTAGAAATTTCTAGACAGGGTCCTGTGTATATCCCAATACGCGATGAGTCTGTGTTGGATCTAAAGAAGAGGATTGAAGAACTATCTGTCGCACCTCTGTCGAGTTCCTCTCAGGTCCTATTTTTGAATGATATTCAGCTGAAAGATGATCAAAAGCTTTCGTCTTATAGAATTACCCATGGGTCCGTCATTGAAGTGTATGACTTAGAATTACTGGCAGATCCTTTTGAACCATTGTCTACAGGCAGTGATGGGCTTTCAACACAATTAGGTATAGTACCCGCAGCTGAATCAGCCCCTTCGACGGATCATGAGGTAAGTGGACTACAATAAACTGAATAAAGTATATTTATTTGTAGGTTTTTTTTTTCCCTATATATAATGTATGTATCTATATTTTTACAGAGAGTGAGAGTGACAATATTAATCCGGGGGGAGGTTTCTCCACTTAGACTCGTAATAGGCTGCAATGAGAGCGTTTTTGAATTGAAGAAGAAGATCGAACGGTCCTGTAGTTCACATATGCCCAGTTGTTCGCAAGTTTTATTATTCGAAGGTGTTGTGTTGAATGATGGAAGTACTATTTCTTCTTATAGAATAAGCGAAGATTCGTACATTCGCGCCTCTAATTCGGCAGTCCCTCCGAGCAGTGCTGGACAAATATCAGCAGCACAACATTCAGTATTCGGCTCTGCTGAATCAACTCAATCTGCAAACAGATTAGACGCGTTCCTCCAAAGCAACGAGCAATCAATAAAGCATATTGAGACCATGGGGGTTAGAATATATCGGTTCAGAGAACGTGATGGAGCTCGAACTGAGTTTTCATGGGACAATATGGGCGGATATGCTGACCTAAAACGGTGTTCCTTTTATCTTTATCTTTATGATTTCCTAGTTTTTTTTTTTTTTTTTTTTCTTTGATTAAACTGTCTCTTTGCTTTTATCTTTTATCTTTATAGAATAGTATATACATGATTTTACATAGACATTCACACTCATCTTTGCATATATATACACGCACACGATTAAGAACATTTATATACTTTTGCACAACATAGCATGTTTATTTATTCACATGCACAATTTACACACGCGCACACACACATACATATACCTACACGAGTAATATAATAATGATTTTGGGGCACATAGATTGAGTTGGCACAAGCCTTGAAAAGTATTTTTGGCTAAAAATGCCGTAGCTTGAAAAGAGAGGGAGAGAGAGAGAGTTGACTTACAAGAGATTTGACTTGAGATGTATCAGGACTAACTAAGGTAAACCTAACTGAAATTGCAAGTGTTGCAAACCTATGGCTACTTGGATGCTTTGAATATGGCCTAAAGGATACATGAGATGATGTGAATAGGTCTAGCTAAGGTAGACTTAGTTGTCATGCTAAGGATGTGTATGTCTAAACACTAAGGGCTTAAAGCTAAGTTTGAGAAATGTACCCGGGTTCCTAGAGGAACTAGGGTTTCAACTTGAATGACTTAACTTATCTGAAAATATGGTTTTCTAATTTGATTGGCATAGCTTATATAGAAACCAGCCTACTTTGGAATATATTCTTCTGTTATTATTATCGTTCTTGTAGTTATGCACTACTTATGCCTATTTTTGATTCTTTATCGTGTAGAGAAATAGAATTTATAATGTTGACTCTGCAAAGTCACGAGGTGTATGATGCTATTTCTCGTGAGACCAGGAATAAATTTGAAAGAAACCGACCACTAGCAGTCCTTTTTGAAGGGCCACCGGGTATGCTTCTCTCCACAATAACTTGAACAACCACTATTTTTTGTCATTCATGTCCTGAATACTAATTTCAACTCACATATTTAATTTCAGGTACTGGGAAGAGTTTGTGTTCTTCCATGATAGCCAATCAAGCGGTTAGTTGTTGCCATAAATTTCCACCTACGTAGTGATATTTTAACCTTTCTACCTCCCACCATGTCATCGTCTCATGGATGCAGAATGGTCATGTATTGGTGCTTAATGATTAAATTGTTTACTTGAAATTTGTGTTCTATTTTCCTGATATAGATCAAATGCATAATTCTGAAATGTAACATTTCAGTGGATATATAAATTGAATGTTCTAATATGCCATGGCAGGTTGTGCCAGTGCTCGAAGTACCGAGAGGCATTCTCATGCCAAGCTTTAATGATCACAGTACTCACTTGTTACGGGAAGTGTTTTCACTTGCCAATGAGCATCCCAATGGTGCCATCATTCTCCTAGATGGGGTAATTGATTAAACTAAGGCCTATGGTTTCCTTATAATTTATGCTGGTTATGTTTCTTAAAATGTAATTTTCCATGTTCTTTTGTTATTACAGTTTGATGCCTATACTGTCGCTCGTGATAGTGAAACACGTGAAGCTACAATAATAATTGCATCAGAGTTATCAAGACTGGTTATTGAGACATCTTAATATTTTTTTTTTTTGTTTTTTTGTTTTTTTTTTCTGATATGCAGATAATTTTTGTACTATCATTTTTGGAGTTTTCTGGATACCTAATAGATATATTTTCTTTTAACTTGAGTTGTTTTGTTTTCTGCTGTAGATTAAAAGTATCGAGCAGGATAAAAAAGTGGTGGTTATTGCGGCCACCAATAGAAAACAAGATATCGTTCCTGATATTTTAATGTATTTAAGTGTCGTTTCTTCTTCATACAGTGATTATTCCCTGAAGTAAAGATTGTTTTTAACTTTTTTTATATGATTCTGCAGTCTGTTTGATAGGTGCATTTCATTTAAGCTACCTGATAATCAAAGCCGCCAGGAAATAGTAGCTTTATTTGCGAAGCACTTAAAAGAAGCTGATTTAGTAAATTTTGCTGCAAATACTGAAGGGTAAGTTTGACCCAACATCACTGATTCAAAATTTTTGCCTCTTTTCTTTGTTTTTCTTTTCCCTTTTGCCTCTTTTCTTTGTTTTTCTTTTCCCTTTGAAATATGTCTTGTCTGTTTTTACTCTAACGTTGGAATTTACCGAAATCAGCATGTCTGGACGCGAAATTAAAGATCTGTGTCGGGAAATAGACATGGATTGGGCAACAAAGGTACTAAACCCCTATTTAGCTCTTACTATACTTTTAAAAGAACTAACTCTTGTTATTTTGTTTGTGAATGAATGCTTATAGATCATTCAACACCAAGGACCAGTGGTTGGGTCTCTTCCGCCTCTCCGAGAGTACCTTCAGGCGATCAGACAAAGAAACCCCAATGGTATGATATTTTGGTATGGTCTTTTGACTACACTATTTAAAGTAGGAAGTTATATTGTATGTAGAAGACAGTAAAATGAAGGACGTGTCATGGTTGATAATGAAGGCGACTTTGTCTATAGGGAATATTAGACATTCTGAGAAAGAGGGAGGAAAGGGGGTTTACACGGTCAAGTTGGCACTAATAGGAACATGTGTGAGGTCACTTGGTTCTTCTGTATATGGATCCATCATAGCTGCAGAGGACAGGTGCCATATGTCTTTAGTTAGTGTTTATGTAGGCCACCAATGCAAGATCCTTAGTTCATCTGAATTGTCTTGTCTATGCTGAGATCCACAATTGAAAAGGCGCACATTGACAATCACCGAGCTTCATGAAGCTCCCTTTGTTCTGCTGTCAACTATGGTTATGATTTAAGTGCCACTATTGCATATTGTCATATAGTATGCTTGTGACCAAGAATTTTAAAGCCAATCTGAGTTGCCTCTTATCAACCTAAATTATAATCCTGTATCTTTTGCACTGTTCTTGTCAGGGTCAGCACTGAAATGGTCCATGTAACAGAGGGTCCCACTGAGTGATGTTCCCAGATTGCTAAAACAGTGTTTCCCACATTGTAAATGCTGACTATATATATATATATATATATATATATATATATTTATTGATAAGTAAAATTTTGCAAAAGATGACTGCACAACTGTAGCAGAGTTGTTGCTTCCCAAGTAGACAGGATGAAGGCATGTTGAGTTGAGCTGAGATATGACCATTTGGCTTACATGGTTGCTAAGAATTGTCATCAAGGAATCTGAATAACTCTGGGTGATTGGGGAAGAAACGCTTCAGGTAGGGTGGCAATATGTTACAATCTGCTAATAGGTGTCCCAGGTTTGCCATTCAGGTATGTGGGCTGATTTCAGCATTGGTTCTGGTCTTTGAATTATTGGGGCTTATAGATTGAAATGCTATCACTTAAAAGAAATAGTTTCTCATTCATAATACAATCAAATATTCACTGCATGCATTATCACTTTTAATTTACACAAGTAACACAACTACTGTACCCAGGGACATTAATTACCAAATACTATTTGGAAATGGGCCTAAATGATTTTCCTCTCCCCTCAATTGCACTATACAGTGTGTAATATTTTCCCTTCATGTGCCAAATACCCCTCCCTCATCCTCATATAAATACAAAGGAACTTGTAGGGCTGCAAATTAAGTGAACTAAGCCAAGCTTTGCATTGTTTGGAGTCTGCTCACCAAACTTGCAGGCTTTCTGAAGATTGGATTGTGTTTGGATCGTGGTTGTTAAAACTGCGACCCAACTCGTAGGATCGTACTAACTAGCAAGTTAGATGGTCAAGTTTGTACAACTGTCTTTACTTGGAAATGAGAGTTTGGAAGTGGTTCAAGTTTACTTGGAACTGAGAGTTTGGAAGTGGTTAAAGACTTCAAGTGGCTGTTGAGCTTAGACACTTGTTCTGATGATAAACAGAGAGGGGGATGATAGCTTTTTTAAACAACAAGATAATACTGATTTGATTCATTTTAAATAATTATCAATATCAAATTAGATTTCATTTTCTTTGTAAGGAATATTATGATGTTATTTATTCAATTTATCGTGGAGACATAAGTATATTTCAATCGTTGTCTAATGCTGCAATATAGTTTCTCTCGGAGAACTTCATTCTGCATCATGAATGAATTATAATTCTGTATCTTTTGCACTGTCCTTGTCAGGGTCTGAGTGCTGAGAGAAGACAGGTCAGCATGAATGGGCTTTTCCTAAATTTGAGTAATGAGCTGAAGCTGCACCAAGGAAAATTTTCAACTAGTTTCTAATATGGTAGCATTTTACTCCCTACTCCGAGATTATGCACTGCGGTTGTTTGGTAATGTTTACCTTCCTGGTAAAACTCTTTTGTCAGGCATGACAGTAATTCAGTGCTAGCATCAGAAATAATGATAATAACTTTTGTGGACCTCAGCTCAGTCGCATTTTTTTTCGAGTGATCCACAAATTTTATATGCTGATAATTAGCAGCTTTGAAACAGAAGGATTTGGTAGTAGAATTTGGTGTCAAGAGTTTGTATGAAAACATATAAAGGTAATGGAGGAATGTTGTCAAATTCTTTTACTTAGTTGTTAAACTTAGAAATAATAAGCATCAAATTATTTTACTTTTGGACCTTGAAATAACTTCCTTAGTTGCAGGGACTTAGAACCTTTGGAACCTTGCTTCGACATTTGCCATAAAAAAAACCCATACAATAGACAGCCCTTAATGGATCAGGTAAGTTGTCAAAGTTAGAACAGGAAAGGAAAAAGTATTTTTTCCTTAGGACAGGTCTTGATTCAGGGTAAAAGGAAAAAGCATGTTCCTATCGAGCTGGACCAGTCTTGATTGATGACTTGTTATTGTATGGACTTGGTGATATAGGATGCTTCAGGTGGTGCTAACAAAACATCAAGCACCACAGATAACCCCATGGCTTAAAGCACACAGATAGCATCATTGTTGTCAACTCCATTTACATGGAGAAATTGTTAGATGGTCCCAATCTGTGACACAACCAAATGTGTCAGCTTTATTAGCTTTTTGGTTGCGTGGCAACTTGTGATTGGCCGGGAATATTTCTCATTTACAAGAGAGATAACAAAAAAATTACGTAAATTATTATTATTATAAATTTTTAGGAGAATATGCTTGTGATTCGCATCTCTTATTTACTTTGTTAGTAATTGCTACTCTATTGTGCCTCTGGAATCGCTGGTGGTATTCTCCAAGTTCTTCCTAAATTGACATTCTGCTCAATTAAGCCTTTAGCAAATTACTATTGCTTGTGCCAACTTTGTCATGGCAAATGATTTGTATTGTATCCTAATTCATGCGGAAATATTGGCTTATACTCACTCAGTCACGAAGAACTGATTAATCGACCAGGGAAAAAAACAATTTTATTTTTGGGTAAGGAACCAGGAAATGCAATATTGTTCGTGCCTAGCCCACTTGTTTTGTCTTGTTATAGAACTAGAACATTGGATTATGTTTGTTTGTAATTCAGCAGAATGTTTCACGACCACATGGCCCTAATTTTTTGTATGGAGGTAGAGAAATGCTTTAAAACATACATATTTTTTTTGTGGCCTTGCTTGTATCATTATAGGATTCTGACAATATAATATATGATGCAAAGTTTGTTTCTGGAGCCTTTTTGGATGGAGTAATAAACTGTAATATTTTTTATACAAAGCTCTTTTTGCTTTAGAACTATATTGAAATTGTATTAAGGATAGTAGTATTATTAACAATGTCTGCTGCTTTCGTGGTTACTTCAACTGCCAATTTTCCATCTCTATTCTGTCACAAGTGTAGCCGTCTACTACATTTGCAGAAGTGACTAGCAGTTGAAGTAACCACGAATACTGCTATTGACAATGCCCTTAAGGGAATTTAAGTATTATTAACAACGTGTCCGTGTCACTTCTGCAAATGTAGTAGACGCGGGACACCACTTGTCAGTAGCAATTGTATCTCTGGCCGAGTTATCGAGCACCACTTCCACGTTCCGCTTGTAGTCCAAGTTGTACGTGTCCATAGTGGTCTTCCAAATAGTAAACAATATTTTACCTTACCAAAAACTTGAAGCCATCGTCGCTGGGATCCTTTCTTGTTTTAACCGTCGTCGTCGAAACATCCCTCGCCATGTTCGAAATTTTTGGTTATCACCTCTGCTTTGCGACAATCTTGAACACAAATGGTTCGTCGTCTTCCTGATTTTCAAAATCTCCAATCGCTTTGCTGACCTCTCGATTCCCGTATGGACACCGACGGCGAGTTCATCCTCATCGAGACCGCCTTTCACATGCTCTGTTGGTTCACCGAAATTTGCGAACCGGTTCAACGAGTCTCTGCATTACCATCCACCGTGACTCGCTGGAAGGAACTGGGTTGACTCAGAGTGTGAGAGGAATAAAACCCACTTAATAATGGTATTTTTGTAATTTAAAAATTATAATTATCTATTTTAATTTAATACTAAATCATAAAATTAATTTTGTTATTTCTCAACCTAATAAATGGATCCTTTTACACAAAAATGGCAGTAGAGGAAGTTACGTGATTTTACCCAAAATTATATTACTTTGAAAAATTGTGTGCCCTATAAGATTTGACCAAAACTAGCTGTCCTTGAATAATATAATAATATAAAAATACTTCCTATGTTTCGGGAAAAAAAAAAAGAAAAAAAATCATTTGAAGAGTATAAAATTTTAAGCAGATATTAGTCCGTTGAAAATTTATTAGTAATTTTAATTTTTTTTTTTGAATATTTAAGTTTAAAATTTTATAAACAGAAAGACGTGAAATAATTTTTTTTTGAGATAACTCAAAAAATAAAATAATAATCACTTTTTTTTTTAATGGAGGGAGTCATATAATTTATTATATATCAAAAATACTTTTTTCCTACCAATTTGAATTTTGGAAAATAATAAAAAAAAAACTCATTTAAAAAAGGTCCACTAGAGTGACTAGATGTTCTATTTTATTTTTTATTTTTTCCGAAAAACATTTTATAGGCCTAAATTCTACAAATACAAAAGAAAAATAAGTATCTTTGTATCCAAGTGACAGAAATCCTGACCTAACAAGGACTATCGAGGAGATAGGATTGCAATTTATTAAACCCCTTCACTCTCTCTCCAGTCTCGTGCCGGAAATTTCAGATTGGCGAAGGAGAAGGCGATATTGTGTCGATTCGTACTTCATAGCAGGATATATCTCTGAGTATCTGTGTGCGTGTATGTATATGTATATAGTGATATATAATAACGATATATATATGTCCGTGTTACAATTTTTTATTTTTTATTTTATTCTTTTTGTAGGCGAAAGCAAATAGGGGAGATCTCTGAATGATCGTAGCAAGCAAGCAAGCAAGCATATTGTTATCTAAATTGTGAAGGCCCCGAATTGGGACTGGATAAGTTGTAATCTTCGTTTGTTCTTCGCTTATTTTCATGGTTTTATATTTTCTTATTTTCATGGTTTTATATTTCTGTCCTTTTAATTTTGTGATTGTGTTGTAGGTTTTGCAGTATTTGTAGTAACATATATCATCTTCAGTTGAATATCGAATAAGGAACGGTATGGACAACTGGATCATTAAAAAGAGGAAGATGGTACGATGTACCTCTTCTAACAAGCAACAAAAGGTGAGTTCTACTCCAAACGCTCGATGAAATTAACCGTTGTCAGGAAAAATTAAATCTTTGTTCTTTTTCTTTTTCTTTCTGTCACGAAAAATTAAATCTTGTCATTCGCAACTATAACTTTTTAACTCCACTGGAATCGACTCCTCCTCCCATATGGGAAATTGAGGTTTGAGTCCTAACAATGGGCGTTTGTCTTACATACCACCAAAAAAAAAAAAAAAAATCATTGCTTACACGAACAACCAGAAACTCTTATGATGTTCTTTTGGATATTATTAGTGTGGTGTTTATTAAATTTTTAACAAAGTAGTAATCAATGTATGTGTGCTGGTCCTCAATTTTTTTAGTAGAATAGTGGTTTCCATTAATTTTGTTGATGATGGTTTATTTTTCTTATTGTGTTACTATTATTTGGATGTTCAGAGAGAAGAGCATATGAAGGATGGAATCAGTGGATTGCCGGACGAAATCCTCATTGCTATCCTGTCTCTTTTGACGCTTAAAGAAGCTGCATGTACTAGTATTCTCTCACGCAGATGGAGATATTTATGGAGATATATAACTGCTAGTTTGAACTTTGATTCAAAGACATTACTTGCTCCTGCATATTATGATAGTTATTTGTATCAAGCGGGACCTATAGATTATGATGCTTTAGCATCTAAAGATGAAGAAAATCGTACTAAGTATGTAAGTTGTGTGAATGAAGTCTTGAAATTTCATCTTGGCTCCTATATAGACGAAATGAGGATTTCTTTTGAATTCCGTGGGCACTACCCTTGTGATATCGATGATTGGATCAAGTTTGCAATGGAAAAGGGTGTTCAAAGGTTTGAATTGGATTTGTTGGCTGGCATTCAACCGGGACCGTGGATGCAATTATACGATTTTCCAAACATGGAGAACTTCAAATTCTCATCTATCACTTCACATAGGCATCATGTGCCACGGACTATTGGTTCTGCAGCTGGCTTTTATTCCCTAGCGGTCCTTCGTCTGCTTGGTGTTAATATCATGGATGGGGTGATTGAGAATTTCGTATCCAACTGTCCGTTTCTTGAGCAATTATGCATTGTGGGTACAACATATCTAGTGAATATAAAAATTGCTGGTCCATCACTCAAATTGAAGAGCTTAGAGATATCTCACTGCCACAGTTTGGAAAATCTGGAAATTTCTGCAATGAATCTTGTTTCATTCAGCTACTCTGGTCGAGATATAAGTGTGGCTTTTAAAAACGTTCCTCTTCTCTCTGAGGTATCTATCCGTGGAGAATTCTGTTCATCCTTTGTTTTTGGATCTTGCAAGCATTCCAGCTACATTCCTCAAATAGAAAAGCTCAAGTTACAAGCGTTTGATGAGGTTAGAATACACAATCATTGTCTTTTTTTTTTTTTTTGTTGTTGTTGTTGTTGTTGTTGTAAACATCATTATTAACTTGTGCTTCCTTTTGGTAGGACTTTCTTCAGTTCCCCAAGTATTTCCGTGAGCTAGGGAATCTCAAGCAAGTGGAATTATATATTCTAGGATTTATTGGTTGCAGCCTTCTAAGTCTCACTTCTGTGATTAAGGCATCTCCTAAGCTGTCTAAGTTTTCTCTTCGGGTAAGTGTGCTTTCTTTGTAATCTAAGGTATGTATGCTGATGGAATCATGGAAATATTATTATTGATTTATTTATTTATTCTAAATTACGTGTATGATTTTAAATAGACTTTTAATGTAGAAAGATAAGTAGAGGAGAGTGAGAGGTGAAAGCAGAGAGAGATATAAGATCTTTGGTGAAGAGGCTGAGGTGGTGAAACGGACCATCACCCTACCATTATCGCCTCTGCAAGTAAATACCCATCTACAACTTAAAAGAGCAAACATATTGAACTTGATTTCTTACTAAAAAAAAATTGACCCAAATATAATTTAAAGAACAAGTTGAAGATGAAGAAGATAACAATTGAAAGTAATGCATTCCTAAAAAATGTCTTTCCATGCGCACACTTAATTTTGTGAAGTTTGTGGGTTTGTGCTTGTGGAGGGAAAAATCTCCTCCAATTAAGGCCGGACACCCATACAACGGCATCCCCAATCACGGTATGACACTTGGCAAATTCATGGACCCAATCCAAATACGGATCAAAATCAAAGAGACAGGTTGAACGACCCGTCAGACAATCAGTCCAATGAAATGTGACCAACTTGTCAGCCCAACCTGGAAATTCGTAATGACCCAATATGAGCCGACATGAGAGCCAAATAAGAAACAACTTGTACCCCAAGAAAAGGGAATCCCATTGGGGTTATGGATGCATAAAAAGAATACACAGCCCAAAAGAGGCAGCTGTGAATGGAAAGAAGATCTTTTCTCTTTCTGGAATTTTCTGTGTTTTTCCTTCTGGGTTGAATCTTTCCATTTGGAGTACTGAAGTGAGGTTTTGTAGAATTTTTCTGCACCTACAGTGCTTATGCAATAGATCTTTTATCTTTCTGGAATTTAAGTGTAGAGTTATGTAAATAAACATTGTTTTATCTTCTTGCTTGCAACGTCGCAATGGTTGTAGAATGAAAAAGTCTATTGTTTAGCCATCAATGTAAGGTGTTGGAAAGTCAGATTTGATAAGAGTCGGACTTTTGGCATAGCATTGTAAGGATTTTTATTATTTTTTATTTTTAAAAATTAATTTTATAAATAATCTCAACTGCAAATCTACAATTACTTTGGCAAGGATCTTGACAATTGAAAAGAAAGAAGCATCAAATCTTGGTAAATTGGTGCTGCATGTGCAAGAGGGATGAGGTGTTGATTGATCATTTTCTCATACATTTTGCAGTGGCTAGGGATACGTGGACATGTTTGTTTCACTTTTTGGTTAGCTGGGTCTTGCTAGGTTCCACATTGAGCTTGCTCGAAGCTTGGAATAGGTTTATAGTCGTGTCGCTTGCTTTGGATGCATGGAGAATGATTCCACTTTGTATTTGGTGGGGCTTGTGGTGTGGAGGAAAAAGGGATGGAATCTTCTATTTGGTAGTAAAATTGTCCTTTTTTTGTTCTCTTTTGTTGGGACAATGGGAGGGATTGTAGAGGATTTTATAGCCTCTGTGGATAGTTTGAGGGTATATGCAGTTTTTATTGGCTTGAAGGTTATTGTTTTGTACATGTTTCTCTTGGGTGCTCTCCCCTTTCGAGTGCTTTTACTTGACCGGGAAAAAAGGTGTTAACCTGAGGACATCAAGATATTCTCTTTGTGCTATCATAAAAACCTCATGCATGATGCACTTCGTGGTTTTTCCCTGAGGAATTAACGCAGGTCGTTTGAATTTTTTGATTGTCCTAAGCATGTTCGATCTCCTTGTACTGCTGGAAGTAAATTTGTATGGAGAATTGTTCACTTGAATCCTCCCCTTAGCATGAAGAGAATTCTGTTTCCATAATTGACATTGAATAGAGATTGAATTAGAATGTGAGATTGGACAAGAGTCAGGCTTTTGGCATAGTTTAGTAAGTTTTTTTTTTAAAAAAACAACCTCAGCTACTATTATTAGTGTTTGTAGCTTCCAATGCCAGTTAAAGCAATAGGGGTCAATTGCTGCAGGCATACTGAAAATAACCAAATTGTGGTGGTGTTTCTTGATGGATTTCTTATATGGATGATTCCTGATGTTATATCCAATATTGATGACAAATATGTAACTGAGTTGCTCTGATTGTGACATTGCTTTCGGTGACAATAGTTTCTTGAAACATCATTGGAAAATAATAATAATAATAATAATCGTACCATGTACACAAGGCTCCTACATTTAGCAGGGTCTGAAAGAGGTGGATGGTAGGCAGCCTTGCTCCTACTTCTAGATAGGTTGATTTAGGGACTCGAACACGCGTTATTGCGGGGGAATGGATGAGCAGTTGAATCACCATGGGAATGTTAAGACAATGCCATTTGTTGATTTTCTTTTAAACCTTTTGGAAAATTATCGGGATAAAAAAGAAAATATCTTATTCATTGTGTAGGTTGTTCTTATTCATTTTCTCAGATACAACTGTTTTCTTTCACATTCAGTGCAGAACCAATCTTCTCGTGTTAAGCAACCGTAGTTTATTAGCTTCTAATTCATTGTGTAGGTTCTTCTTATTTATTTTATCTAAACTTCTTGTGTAAACAAGTTTTTGTCTGACTATCTTCCTCTATGGCAGATGATTCTGGCAGAGAATGGTGAACAGGTACTGAAATTACAAATCTATAGTGGTCTATGAGTTTGTTATATTCTTAACCTTGTCAGCAAAATAATGCCTTCTCTTGTGTTGCTGGTAGGTAATAAGGGATGGTCAAATAGCTGCTGAAAAAGAGGCGACAAAATGTCATCATCAATGCCTTAAGGTGGTGGAATTAATTGGGTTTGTTGGAACTAGCAGGGAAATTGATCTTGTTATGCACATACTTGAGGTTGCTCCATCATTGGAGAAATTAATAATTGATCCCCGTCCAGTGTTATACATCGTCGGACATCCAGGGGATGTTAGGAGAATGGAAACTGGTAAAGAGCGTGCGCTTCAGTTAAAAACGAGATTACCTGCGACAGTTAAATTAGTGATTCTTTAGTTGAATTTATGGTGACTATTTACTTATTCGTCTCATGTTATTTGCGGGATTACGATTGAAAGTAAAGCTAAGCTTCTATGACTGGCTTTGGAAAGTGTAAAATAGTATTGGATTATAAAACCCTCAAGGTATGTTTGGCAGCACTTTGGTATTGGGTTGTAGTCTCAATTCCAATTTGGGATTGCATTACAATCCCAAACATTCCAAATCAGCAATTTGAATTCTACTATTCAACCAAGGATTTTCAATACTAAAACAAATCCAACATGGCACCAGAATATCATAATTGGACAAAAGAAAAATTCAACTATAATATATATATTGACATTAAAAAAAACCTATATACATACTTCTAAAATGCTGGACATATTAAAAAAAATGATGTTGGACGTGTATTCTCAAATGCAATTGTATTAGTAACTCATACATATGCATATGTATGTGTGGTCTCGCTGGCAGCTTTTTTCTTTTTCTTTTTATTTCTTTTTTAAGCTGAGGTTTTTTTTTTTTTTTGATTTTTTTTTTTTTTTTCGCGCTGAATAATAGAAAATGTTTTCTGGAGGGTTTGATTTTTTTTTTTTTTTTTTTTTCACACTGAATAATAGAAAATGTTAATTTAAAAATACATTTAATAGGGTAGCATTTTTTTCAAACACTCCAGAAAATGTAATTTTAATTTAAAAAATATTTAATAGCGTAACATTTTTTTCCCTTTGAATAATAGAAAAAAGAAGAAGAAAAAAAAAAAAAAAGCTCCAATCATTCATACAACAATTAAGTTATTTAATTAGTTAATTTAAAAAAAATGAACAAAAAAAGTAAATTAAAATTTGGGAGTCAATATTAAAAAAAAAAAATTTCAAATCGGCAATTTGAATACATTTTTTGGGAAAAAAAAAGGGAATCAGATACTGAAACTATTGTTATTGTTCTTGATGTGCAATTACAAGTTGAAGGATGAGACATTTAATTGTGAGATAAGTATATATGCATATATATATGTGTGTGTACATGTCAGTCAGCTTTTGCAACGTGGCAAACAATGTTTTAGCAATCTGGGATCATCACTCAGTGGGGCCCTCTGTTACGCGGACTCTTTTTGGTGAGCAAAATACTAGAGGACTCTTTATTATTTTTATATTGGACACAAGGTATGGAGTGGGGGGTATGGGGTACACACATATAAAAATAGTAAAAGTTCTGTTGTGATAACTAGAGTGAAATGCTGAACATCTTGTGTTATAGAATCAAATAAAATAAAAGAGTGAAAGGAGAGTGTTTAATTTTAGTAGGAGTATTTTGCATGAAAAAGATGGTAGATGTTTTAACCCCAAATTATAATAGTATTTTTAAAAATTATGTCTTCTATAAGATTTGACCAAAATTAGCTTACATTGAGGTTAGTTTCGTGCAATGAAAAATGGAGGATAGGGAAGGAAAGGGGATGGAGGGTGATTAAAAATTTATGTTTGGCTCAAATGGCTGGAAGGAAAGGAAAGGAAAATGAAGATTTTGGAGGGTTAACATAAGACTTAAACAATAAATTTCTTAACCTCCCAAAAATGGGAGGAAATGGAAGGAGAGGCTTGGTGTGTGATTTCTGATGCCAAATTTGTCCTTGATTACACGTAAATTTAGTTTGCAAAACAAGACCTTGATTAGTTGATTTAGAAAAAATAAAACAAAACCCATACGTACAAGTTAGCAGTTGCAGAGCGAGAGGGGGGCAAGCTTAAGAGTTGAGAGAAAGAGGGCCAGCGGCTGAAGCTTGCGAACGGCGAACCCGAATTGGAACAGCGGGCGATGGAAACTGATAGATCAATATGGGTTTTGATTTTTTGAACAATCTGAAATGATGCCGATATGGGTTTTGAACTTTTGATTCTTGCAGACAAATATATAAACTGAAATATATGGGTTCTAAACTTCTAATTCTTCTAGTAGTTTGCAGTTGCAGAGAGGGAGGGGGGGGTGGTAAGTTCAAAGTTGAGAATGAGAATAGAGATGGTGGCTGAAATGATTTGCCCTAAATTTTTTTTTCCTTTTCTGGTGGCCGATCCACGGGCCTTTATATAGGAGACAAATATATATATATATATATATATATATATATATATATATATATATATATATATAAATTTATCTATTAAATTTATTAAAATAATTCTCCTTCCTTTTCTTTTCTTTCTTTTTCCAAACACGATTATTATCATTCCCTTTATTTTTTATTAATTAATCAACTAAACACGATAGGAGATTAAAATTATCCTTCCCTTCACTTTCCCTTATAACTAATGTTATCTTCTCCCTTCAAACCCACCGTACCAAACATAGCCTGAATATAATAATAATATAAAAATACTTCCTGTGTTTTAAAAAAAAAAAAAAAAAAATTCATTTGAAGAGTATAAAATTTTAGGGTTAATTTCACTGACACTCCCTCAGGTTTGGCCAAATATTACTCTGAAACAACTTTCGAAAATTACTATCACTTACGTCCAATTTTACTTTTTTTTGTCAATAACACCGTTAAAAACGTGCGAAAAGACAAATCTACCCTTATTTTTAAAATTCATTTTAAACTAAAATATCCACAAATTAAAAAAGACAACATTGCCCCCCAATAGTTTCTCTCTCTAAAATATACGTGTGCATACAATATATATATATATATATATATACAAATAGGTTCGGTGACCTTCCAACAACAACGATGGCGACGGCGACGGCGACGACGACGACGGCAACGATGGTGACAACGGATCCCCGACGACGACGACGACGGCAACGATGGTGACAACGGATCCCCGACGGTGACGCCTTCACCTTCTTCTCTCTTCGCGACGTGTCTCGCTGTCTGATCTCCACAAACTCTCCTTTATCTATATATACATATACACATCACCCTACCATTATCGCCTCTGCAAGTAAATACCCATCTACAACTTAAAAGAGCAAACATATTGAACTTGATTTCTTACTAAAAAAAATTGACCCAAATTAAATTTAAAGAACAAGTTGAAGATGAAGAAGATAATAATTGAAAGTAATGCATTCCTAAAAAAATGTCTTTCCATGCGCACACTTAATTTTGAGAAGTTTGTGGGTTTGTGCTTGTGAAGGGAAAAAAACTCCTCCAATTAAGGCCGGACACCCATACAACAGAATCCCCAATCATGGTATGACACTTGGCAAATTCATGGACCCAATCCAAATACAGATCAAAATCAAAGAGACGGGTTGAACGACCCGTCAGACAATCAGTCCAATGAAATGTGACCAACTTGTCAGCCCAACCTGGAAATTCGTAATGACAGCCAAATAAGAAACAACTTTTACCCCAAGAAAAGGGAATCCCATTGGGGTTATGGATGTATAAAAAGAATACACAGCCCAAAAGAGGCAGCTCTGAATGGAAAGAAATCTTTTCTCTTTCTGGAATTTTCTGTGTTTTTCCTTCTGGGTTGAATCTTTCCATTTGGAGTACTGAAGTGAGGTTTTGTAGAATTTTTCTGCACCTACAGTGCTTATGCAATAGATCTTTTCTCTTTTTGTAATTTAAGTGTAGAATTATGTAAATAAACATTGTTTTATCTTCTTGCTTGCAACGTTGCAATGGTTGTAGAATGAAAAAGTCTATTGTTTAGCCATCAATTTAAGGTGTTGGAAAGTCAGATTTGAAAAGAGTCGGACTTGTGGCATAGCATAGTAAGGATTATTATTATTTTTTTAAATTTAATTTTATAAACAATCTCAACTGCAAATCTACAATTACTTTGGCAAGGATCTTGACAATTGAAAAGAAAGAAGCATCAAATCTTGGTAAATTGGTGCTGCATGTGCAAGAGGGATGAGGTGTTGATTGATCATTTTCTCATACATTTTGCAGTGGCTGACATGTTTGTTTCACTTTTTGGTTCGCTGGGTCTTGCTAGGTTCCACATTGAGCTTGCTAGAAGCTTGGAATATATAGTCGTGTCGCTTGCCTGGGATGCATGGAGAATGATTCCACTTTGTATTTGGTGGGGCTTGTGGTGTGGAGGAAAAAGGGATGGAATCTTCTATTTGGTAGTAAAATTGTCCTTTTTTTGTTCTCTTTTGTTGGGACAATGGGAGGGATTGTAGAGGATTTTATAGCCTCTGTGGATAGTTTGAGGGTATATGCGATTTTTATTGGCTTGAAGGTTATTGTTTTGTACATGTTTCTCTTGGGTGCTCTCCCCTTTTGATTGCTTTTACTTGACCGGGAAAAAAGGTGTTAACCTGAGGACATCAAGATATTCTCTTTGTGCTATCCTAAAAACCTTCATGCATGATGCACTTTGCGGTTTTTCCCTGAGAATTTAACGCAGGTCGTTTGAATTTTTTGATAGTGCTAAGCATGTTCGATCTCCTTGTAGTGCTGGAAGTAATTTTGTACGGAGAATCGTTCACTTGGATCCTCCCCTTAGCATGAAGAGAATTCTGTTTCCATAATTGACATTGAATAGAGATTGAATTAGAATGTGAGATTGGACAAGAATCAGGCTTTTGGCATAGTTTAGTAAGTTTGTAGCTTCCAATGCCAGTTAAAGCAATAGGGGAGGCATACTGAAAATAACCAAATTGTGGTGGTGTTTCTTGATGGATTTCTTATATGGATGATTCCTGATGTTATATCCAATATTGATGACAAATATGTAACTGAGTTACATTGTGACATTGCTTTTGGTGACGATAGTTTCTTGAAACATCATTGGAAAATAATAATAATAATAATAATCGTACCATGTACACAAGGCTCCTACATTTAGCAGGGTCTGAAAGAGGTGGATGGTAGGCAGCTTGCTCCTACTTCTAGATAGGCTGATTTAGGGACTCGAACTCGCGTCATTGCGGGGAAACAGATGAGCAGTTGAATTACCATGGGAATGTTAAGACAATGCCATTTGTTGATTTTCTTTTAAATCTTTTGGAAAATTATCTGGATAAAAAAGAAAATATCTTATTCATTGTGTAGGTTGTTTTTATTCATTTTCTCGGATACAACTGTTTTCTTTCACATTCAGTGCAGAACCAATCTTCTCGTGTTAAGCAACCGTAGTTCTTAACTTCTAATTCATTGTGTAGGTTCTTATTTATTTTATCTAAACTTCTTGTGTAAACAAGTTTTTGTCTGACTATCTTTTTCTATGGCAGATGATTCTGGCAGAGAACGGTGAAAAAGTACTTAAATTACAAATCTGTAGTAGTCTATGAGTTTGTTATATTCTTAACCTTGTCTGCAAATAATGCCTTATCTTGTGGTGCTGGTAGGTAATAAGGGATGGTCAAATAGCTGCTGAAAAAGAGGCGACTAAATGTCATCATCAATGCCTTAATGTGGTGGAATTAATTGGGTTTGTTGGAAGTAGCAGGGAAATTGATCTTGTTTGTTATGCACATACTCGAGGTTGCTCCATCATTGGAGAAGATAATAATTGATCCCCGTCCTGTGTTATACATTGTCAAACATCAAGGGATGTCAAGAGAATGGAAACTGGTAAAGAGCTTTAGTTAAAAATGAGATTACCTACGATAGTTAAATTAGTGATTCTTTAGTTCAATTTCTAGTGATTTTTTACTTATTCGTGTCATGTTATTTGCGGGATTACGATTGAAAGTAAAGCTAAGCTTCTATGACTGGCTTTGGAAAGTGTAAAATAGTATTGGATTATAAAACCCTCGAGGCATGTTTGGCAGCACTTTGGCATTGGTATTGGGAGTCTCGTTTCCAATTCGGGATTGTATTATAATCCCAAACATTCCAAATCAGCAATTTGAACTCTACTATTCAACCAAGGATTTTCAATACTAGAACAAATCCAACATGGCACCAGAATATTATAATTGGACAAAAGAAAAATTCAACTATAATATATATATTGACGTTAAAAAAAACCTATATACTTACTTCTAAAATGCTGGACATATTAAAAAAATGTTCGACATATATTCTCAAATGCAATTGTATTAGTAACTCATGCATATGCATATGTATGTGTGGTCTAGCTGGCAGCTTTTTTCTTTTTCTTTTTAATTCTTTTTTAAGCTGAGGGTAGGGTTTTTTTTTTTTTTTTTTTTTTTTTTTTTTTTTTTTTTTTTTTTCACACTGAACAATAGAAAATGTTAATTTAAAAATACATTTAATAGGGTAGCAATTTTTTCAAACACTCCACGAAATGTAATTTTAATTAAAAAAAATTTAATAGCGTAACATTTTTTTCCCTCTGAATAATAGAAAAAAGAAGAAGAAAAAAAAAAAAAGCTCCAATCATTCATACAACAATTAAGTTATTTAATTAGTCAATTTAAAAAAAAAAAAATGAAAAAAAAAATTTACTCAAAATTTGGGCCAGGTACCCAGTTGGACAACTTCATTTGGATGCAAGTATTGTCCGTGAGGAAAATACCAATATTGGACACAAGGTATGGAGTGGGGGTATAGGGTACACATAAAAATGTAACAGAAGTTCTCTTGTTGTAACTAGAGTGCTGAACATCTTGTGTTATAGAATCAAATAAAATAAAAGAATATTAAGGGTGCATATTTAGCCATATGTCTCCGTGCCCTTAGATGTGAGAATTTGACAAATTTTGATACATGCACGCATTATGGTTGTTAAAATCCCGATTTGATTTACAAAGAAACTGATTAAGAACAAATTGTTGGCCTCTTATTATGAACAACAGCACAAGTACACACCTTCAAATGACGCACAAACTAATCAGCATCTTCTGCTATTTTCTTCTTCTATCCTCACCACCCGTAATTTTTTATTTTATTTTTTTACTTTTAAGAATATTACTTTACAAAAAATTGAAATAAAACAAATAAAAAAGAATCCATAAAACCCTTCTGCAAGTTGCCGCTGAAAAGATCAATTGCAGACATTTACAAATGACATTTGAAGGAGGTCAGTGAAGCCTTTTTACACAAGTATCGTTTGTCAAGGCATCACTAAACCCTGGTTTTCACGACGAACCACACTCTACCTTCCCGACATTAGGTTGACTAAACCCTGGTTTTCATAGAAAGAGCCAACATCCCAATCCTCGGTGGTGGATGAAAGCGTCATTAGTGCAACCACAATTGATCTCATACTTGGCCTCAGTTGAGGATTTTCGTGTGTGCAAGCTTTGGCTAGCTGAGCCATCTGCAGCCAAAACACGCTGTTTAGTTTATTAGAATTAAGATCACTTGTATAAAACTTACATTCACTGGGATCTGTTTTCACCTTTTGGACTGAGTCAATGGGATAACTATCACCAAGCCTGGGGTCAACTAATTTGCTTAGATCTTCTCTAGGATCAGGCTGACTAAGAACTTCGTCAAACTGCATAACATCAATAATGTGCAGTTAAATTTAGTGTCTTTAAGTATTAGGAGTCACCAATTAATTGGTGAGTTGAGGGAAGGCATAAGAGCAAACCAAAGCAACGAGTCCCTTTGATTCGGTAATGGTTTCATTCGTCTTGACAATGGCTTCCTTAGCAGATATTAGTTCATAAAGGACAACTCCAAACGCATAAACGTCAACCTTGGGAGAAACATCACCATACTGAGCATACCTGCACCCAGGACCACCCTAAATTGAATCATGTTCATTTGGCCTTGGAGTCATTTATCTTGTTTGTAACTAAAATCTTACAAATGCCAGAAATGAGAGAGAACAAATAATGGAACTATACATAGAAAAAAAAATTTAGGACAACCTGTAAAAATTCTTTTTTATTTTTTTTTATTTTTTTTTTTTAAAAAAAGAAAAAAACTATCAGAGAATTTTTTGCCTTTGTAAAAGAATATTTCACATTTGAATGAACAACACACAATATAGAAAGGCAATCACATATATATAAAACTTCTCTCCCCCTCCCCTCTTTTCCGAATTCACACCCACACCCACACCCACACCCACACCCACACCCACTTTGCCTGAAGTCTCAACCTTCTACTTCGGAAAGGTAAGGAAATACCACTCAGCTATTTATAGCTGAATTTTCCCCCAACACTACAAACTGAAACGGATTGCTTTCACGAGCTCTGATTATCATTTATGCTTCTTCTTATATTGAAAAGAAAATGGCATTTTATTGTTAGCTTAACTTTCTTTCTTTTCTATAATCATACAAATGTTATATTGCAAAACAAAATTTAACACGATAACAAGTGTAGGGTAAAAAAATGTCCTACCACAATGTTCTGAAACACTGTTATATAACCACTAAGCATTATCATTGCCTTCAGTCCTAAGTATTTGCTGAATCTTTTACTGGCAAATCACTCAAACTCACCCTGCTTAGTTCATTAGCACTTTCATCTGATTCTCTAGTTTCTTCTTACCTCAATTAAATTTTATTATAGCTGCTACACAATATAATATCTGCAATCACTGAGACTATGATAGCTAATCTGATTTATAACCACCCCGGAAGATTGACTGCGAACTATAGGCCCTAAAAAAAGAGGAGCATATATCGGGTTCCATTCACAATTATCAAAAGGAACTCAAGATGTGTTTATCCTAAATTCCAGTCATTAATAGGTGATCTTTAACACGTAATTTTGATGAACCAAGGATTGAACATCTATGAAAAATTTTAGTTTTATTCTTTTGTTTTTCATTTCCTTCTTACACTTTCCTTGAATGGTGAGGTTTTCCTCAAATCACAAACACTTAACTAGCCAAAATCAATTTTAAAAACAATGAGAGCTACAGCAAATAAAGCTCCATGCAAACGTGAAAGGTACTATAGTTCTTTCTCCTAACAGAGTTAAATATGAATCGTAGGTATTAGGCATTGCAATCACAATTCAAATAACAATTTAACGGATTAAATGAGGTAGAAAAAAAACGAAGGCAAACATGTCTTACTCTGGAGGCATGTATCCAAAAGTACCCACAAGGCGTGTGTGCAATGAAGCACTCCCGACTTCAGTCAGTTTCGTCAGTCCAAAGTCTGCAACCTGTACAATAAATATATGAATTCAAATCAATATAAAAATGAAAAGGGACTCATAATCTACCACACTAGCACAGGCAGTTTCACAACCTTTGCGCGGAAGTTTGTGTCTATCAAAATATTTGCGGACTTAATATCACGGTGGATATAAACAGGAACGGTATGCTCATGGATATATTCAAGTCCTCGAGCAGAATCAAGGGCAATTTGCACCCTAGTAGGCCATAGCATCGGTTCCCTCCCTGAAAGCAACATGGATAATACAAACTTAAGACATAATACCAAGAGAAATTTTTTTGCTTTGCCAATGATATGCTCACCTGAACCACGAAGATGTTGACCTAAGTTGCCGTTCTCAATGAATTCATAGACTAAAAATAAGGAACCCTCAACACAGTAACCTATTAAACGTACCTGTATTTGGATTTAATAATAAAGCATTAGAACCACATAAATTAGCGGAAACTTTATAAGGATCTTCCAGGGAAAAACAACTCAATGATTGAACTACAATTATACAACTACAAAGATATTAAATGATGCATCCTAAACATTAAATTATAACACTAGCAACGTCCAAAAGTCCAAAGAACATTGTTATATTGAAAAGGAAGATGCCTATGATTCAATAGAAAAAGGAATATGCCCCTTCTCAACCACAGATATTCAAGTCACCCAGCAAAGTCAGGCACCTAGCCTCACCTATCACATAATTCAAGATATTAATCAATCAAGCTAATTGATCCACCTTTTCCATGTTCAAACTATTAGCAGCCAGTAAATCAAAAAGCTTAAGCTGATAGAGAGCAATGTAACTTTGAATATATATTATCGACACAAAAAACAGGTCAAACAGAAATTTAGGCTTGTCAGAAAGCTGCAGAAATTTGTGATGCAATTAACATTAAAAGTTGAAGACTTGAAGCGATGCAAATGTTATTTGCAGCATAAAAATCAGTAAAAGCAATTAATACTCTAGCATTCTCAAAAGCATCAGGGAAAAGAACAATACCAGGTTCAGGTGATGAACATGTGTTAAAACCTTCAGTTCAGCAAGGAATTCTTTTGATGCTTGCATATCCATCTTCTTAATTGCAGCTTTCTGAAACAATAGCGAGAGGAAGGAGTCAGCTGTTCAATCGTGGAGAGAAAAACTAAAACACTTCAAAGGTTTAAATCATTTATAATTAATTCGAGAATGTTGCAAGATATAGATCAAAGGGAGAGAATGAAACATCAAAAAAATAATCTAAGAGTGAAGGATTCATCGACATCCAATGCCAAATAGATTGAGTTGCCAGGAAGATCAACATGCAATGAAGTATTCACAATTCAGGGGGAAAAAGAACAACCTGAAATTATATATTTCATGTTTGCCACAGATGCATCAACCCATGACATATGCCAGGTTTGCGTCCTTTTCTAGTTTGTAGTGGGACAATTTACAATTAATTATATTTATTTTCTATAAGCTAGATGGATAATTTGAAATATTGGATATCCATCTAATAAATGGCCATAAGTTTTAAAGTGAATGAGTTGCATCATACTGCCAGTTTTTCTTTCTTTTATCCAGTATAACTGCTAGCATGAATAGCACAGATACGAACCTCGCCTCTTAACTCTGCATAGTAAACAGCCCCAAAACCACCTTGACCAATCTTATTAGCCAAGCTAAAGTCATCAGTAGCCTTGGCAAGCTCTTCATATGAGAACTCCACAGATTTATCCACAGTGATACCTGTAAGCACTGGCGAAGCACCAGCAACAAGAGGACCTGATTCTGAAGTTTTCTCCAAGGTAATTCCAGGACCTGAACCGATAAGAAAGAAACAATTATTTACTATATACATACAAATCTCATGCAGAAAGATTTCTGCTAAACATCCACATTACTTGGCAAACAACTCAGCAGGCCACATATTTTAGCCAAAAAGAATGTCTCACTCAACCAATATCTCAGAACACTACGAGGTTTACTAATAGAAATTTGTGAAATAACACGACTTCACCCATCTAAATTTTTTCAATCAATTACAGCACAAGAATCTAAGAAGCCAGAGATTAATCATTTAATATACCATTATTTCAGTTGAATACTTGACAAAAGTCAAAAGAAAAAAGAAATTTCAGAACAAAAGGGGAAAATGAAAAAAGAAAATTAGTGCATTAGAATCTGAAAATCTGCAAAGAAAATTGATAAATGGGGAAGTAGTGTTAGATTATCAATTGCCCCAAAAGGTTAAACTGTCAAGGAATATTCCCAACAATGTATATCAAGCTGTCTGACACCCTCCTCACATCCAACCCTGTCTTGCAGGTTGCGAGGCAAACAAACCAAATCAAGACTAGAACAAAGTGCAAACTTGCATAGAAAACCAACAAACAAATGCATATATGGGGACTTGAACTGAAGAAATCCCAGAACAAAAATGTTGATATTTGCCGTAAGGATTACCATTCCTAAGCTCAACAGCATGTTCACTGAGGAGAAATGATTCTTTCTTCACCTTCTTCCTTCTGTAAAATCCAAAATAGAAACAGCCTGCCAAGAGCAGAGCCCCAGCAATTGCTGCAACAGATATGCCAGCGATGACTCCACCCGAGATTGCTGCTTAAGAATGTCACCACACTAAGCTTTAGACAACATCAAGAACAATCTTAACATCTCATACCTGACCTCAAAAATGAATTATTGAAATAAACAGCAATGAACCAATGGGCAAAGAAGGTCCCACCACTTGAACTGCAAAAATGAAAGCAGAAAATTAAATATGGCAGACAAATTTGATTAAAGAGTTCAAGAAGTTAATAGTACATCATGGTGGTATGAGTTACCTGGACTTGAATGGTGGAAATGTTTGACTTTGATCTGCATCAAGAAAAAAAAAAATATTAAGACAATACTTAAAAAGGCAATTTTCAAGTAGTTCCTACAATTATTTTTCTACATGCAATGCATTATATCTTCCATGCCAGTTTTTCTCTAAAGATTTCTAATTGTCAAAATCGGAATTGTTTCTAATTTTCAAGAAATCTCTTGTTTACAGTTCAGTCAAGTGAATTTCAACTACCCTTTCCAATGCACATCAAATCAACACAAAAAGATATATATTATGCCTCCATCACAATTTTTTTATAAAAAAAAATATCTTTGTACCAACATAAATCTGTTTTCTTGAAATATACTCCTATTAAAAAGTTATTCTCTAGACCCTATTTTTCTACTCAAATTACCTTATTTTGTACCTAAAATTTGTTTATCAAATCACTTCAATGAAAAAACAAAAGGAAAAATATAACAAATTTCTCAAATTTCTGCATTTAAACATGATTATATAGGAATAAGGCTCCGAAACAAATCACCTCTTCCAGGAATAAAAACTACTCCACTCCCACTGCTGAAACTCGAATTGGGGTTGTATTCCTGCAACAAATTCTCAGCAACTCCAGATTGACTAGCAATTGTAGACAAATTCTCACCAGGACGAAGAGGATATGTTATGAACAACCCGTAATCCTTCGAGACAGAACTATTCCCACACGAGCAATTCACAGTTACATTCACTTGCGAAGTATCCGGTATCAGAGTAGCCGGGTAAGTATTGAATCTCTCCAACCATTCAACATTTGTAAGGTTCGAATAGTACTCCTCAGCTATCTTTTGGTAGGTATCCTGGGACCTCACATTGTAGACAAACATATGACCCATAAATTCCCCATCAATACAACCGCAAGAGAATGGAACATTCACTCTAGAACCACTTAGAATACTGTCTGTATTGGTTATATCAGGATTGTAACTAGGGATTTGAGCGAAAGGATACGAAAGGACTTCTGCTATGAATGAGAGGTTCGTTCCATCCCACACGTAATACGAAGCTAACGCATCACAATCATCACTGCATCTGGATTCTGCTCCGACCCAGAAGATGATTAACACCAAAAAACCTAAACCCAATTTGAATGTGCTCTTTCTTTCCACCGCCATGTGAAGATTCTACAAACCCTAGAAATGTTTGAAGCTTCAAACCAGAAGAGCACCGAAACCCTAGAAAAGAAACCCAGATGATGATTTTGCTGTGGAACGAAGAAAATCGCGTATTTGGGGGTTTGATTGATTCAGTTGACTGGTAAGCATTCAACTTTTTGTGTCAATGTCTGATGCAGCCTTTGGAATTTTTAAATTTTTTTACTTTTGTTTGACTATTCAATTAACGGCCATTTGTCTTCTACTCCGTAATTTTTTTTTTTTTTTTTACCCGCCAAATTGGATGGACCCTAGAGTTACTGGGCCGGACCCATGTAACCTAGCTCAGATGGCCGATGTCAAAGCCCGTGTCAAATCAGATGGTAACCAAAGAAACATTTCTTTGTAAAGCATGATTAAGACTTTATTTATTTAATACTCCGTGCTACGTATATTATTATTACGGATTTGGTAGTGTGGGACATGTTTAAGTATCTCATAATTTATTATTAGATAAATTCAATTCCCCTTGCATTCATATGCAATTTACATTAGGTTATTCAGTTATGTTTGATTTGGACTCTAAGTTGGGGTGCACATGATTAAGATTGAATCGATTTGAAAATATTTTGGAACTAAATCATTTTTAACGGTTTCATAAAAATTGAAACCAAACCAAATCGAATTGTAAAACTAATGGAACAGTTTTAAGTTTTTTTATAATTCAATCCAATATATATAAAATAAAAAATATATTATATATAATATATATTTTTTATCATATACTATGTTATATAGTTGAGTGGTTAATTTTATTATTCTATTAACTATATAATACTAAATATATATAATTTATAAAATGATTCGATTCGGTTCAATTTGGTCTTGTAGAACCTTAAATCTTTATTGACCCGTTTATAAATGATTTCATATTTTTGAAACCGAAATCAAACTGAACCTTAAAAAAATTGATCCAAACTTACCAGTCCAATTTGATCATTTTTCGATTCATTAGTTGAATCGGTTTGTTTGGACATCCCTAACTCTTAGCACACATGATTACAAGTCTATAATTGGCAAGTATCTATAAATTTATTGTTTAAGTTCAATTAAAGTTATGATTAAGTCTTTGGAGTTTAGAGCACTGCTAAGACGGATTTGTCTTTTCTTTTATTTTCTTCTTACAGAAGTTATATGTGTTATTCACATGATGCCCCTACTAAATCTAGAATTCTCAACCTTTTCACTAAAAGGTCAAAATCATACAGTCAGAATTATAAGTTCAATGATCAGTAAAATTAATTATTAAAATTATACTCGTATTTTACTGTGTTTGCATGAATTAAAGTCTTGAATTAGAATTACTAAAATTGAAGAAAATTTTAATTCAGTTTTTTGATTTATAATTATAATTTTAAAACTTTAATTTCACACGGAACATAACCTTAAGGTACTTCTATGCCCTTCTTAATTTTCAATGCCTGCCCAATATTACCAAAAGGGTAGCTGGCTGCTACATACTATTTCTTAAGGTTTATGATGGAAACAACTGACACTAAAAATAAATTGTGACAAAGAGACCCTATTGCTAGATTTATTCTAGCCAACAATAATAATATGTTGAGTGTTGACTGGGCCATCTATAACTTTAACGCGTAAATCTGAATGAGACCAAAAATATTGATGTAACCTCAAGAACTACGTACATGTCCCATACTATGGACCATTGCTAGAAAGGGACTACTGTGGGCCACCTTCAAACATTGCTGTCCTAATATTTTTTTGTTATCATACCATCAATGTAAATTTGTTAGATTTCAAATTCAGCTTTAAAAATTCAAGAGAATGCTTAATAACTTTTTATTAAGTAGGTAAAATTTCAGCTAAACTACATGTAAACAAGGTGAAAAATAAACTAAAGTTTTAGACGTTTTTAAACAAAAGTCTCTATCTACCTTTTCTACTGACTTTAGAAAAATGAGGGTCAAGCAGAGTGAAAAGTTACCAACCTTTTGCTGGCACAAACACCAACCCGGTCCCTGCACTAAAATCCGACCCTGGATTATACCTCTGCAACAACTCCACCGGAACATCCGAATCCGCTGCCACCGACGACAGATTCTCCCCAGGGTAAAGCGGGTACGTCGCGAACAACCCATAATCCTTGGACACGTGTTTGTCACCGCACGAACAATTCACTGTCACGTTGATCTCGACGTTATCGGGTATCCGGGTCGGATCATACACGTTGACCCGATGCACCCAATCCTCAGTAGTCAGATTGGCAAAAGCCACCATAGCAACCTTCTCATATGTATCACCAACCTGAGTTATGTACTTGAAAGTATGGCCCATGAAATCGCTATTCAAGCACTCACATGAGAATGGAACGTTGACCCGAGTACCGGCCCGAATGCTATCTTGATTTGGGACGTTCGGGTTGAACCGGAGGATCTCGGAGATTTGCTGGTCGAAGATGTTGCCGATGTAGGTGAGGTTTGATCCTTGCCACACGTAGTATGAAGCCATGGCAAGGTCACAACCAGTTGAACACTTGGCCTTTGATTTGATGACACATAGGAAGAAGAAAACATAGTAGCCCAATAGAACAATGGGTTCTCTCTCTGTCTTTGATGCTACGATCATTTCAGGAATGAAGAGAGTAATTGGAAATAATGATCAATGATCATGCCATATGACACTAATGAGACTTTAAGAAAAATTGAACATGTCTTTTGAATTTTATATATAACGGTGGTGTTATATATATATATATATACTATTGTTCTTTAAGAGTCTTGTCTAGACTGTAGACGGTGTAGTGTTATGAGGTTATGATTGGTATCTTTTGTCCTTATTCTTTGTCAATGATTCCTTGAATTGTAAGTTCAAGTAAAATGGATGACCTGGTCCAAGGGAAAGGCCTGCAATGGATCAAAAACTGTCACCCTGAAATATCTACCATCAAAGACAACTTTTTCTTTTTTCTTTTCTTTTTTGTCATGCTTTCAAGCTATACACATCTTTAACCTATGGAATCACAAGGCTAATTGGCTATAGAGTTTAAAGAGAAGATAGGAAGGAAGAAACTTTTCTCATTTGATGAAGAGAAGGCAAGGAGGGAAGGAAAAAATAGAGAACATAGATAGGCTAAAACAAAGATAAATAAATATATACTCTCTTTGTCCCAAATTAAGTGTTATTATCGGAAACTGTGACTCACATTTCCTGATGTCGAGACTTAATTTGGGACGGAGGGGATAGTACTAACTAACTCATCTTTTTCTTTCTTCCCTCTCTGGTCTATATACTTCTTACTTTACCCATTCTAGCAAAGGTTTTGCTGAACATACCCAATCTAGAAAGCTTCATCATAGCTTTCCTAAACATTTAAGCAAGCATATATACAAACAGGCTAGTAAAAAGAAAAACTGCGCACAAGAAAGGGTATTCCCATTCCCATGCTGGCATCAATCAAGACCAGGTCACTGCCTTATCAGCATTTTGACAAGAAAGAAATAGAGGAGTTCATTGACTTGCTTCCATGTACTACAAAAGTAAATTGCCTCATCATAAGAAGAATAGACTCAAAGTGATTTTCTTCTCCCCATCACCATTCACAGTCTCAATCACCATGAATACCATACATTTTCCTTCTAAGTCACAGAAATACTATCTCCAGTGTCCCTAGACATGCATTCTACCAAAAGACAGAAACAAAGAAATGACATATACACCCAATCAAATCTATTCTAAGCTAATTATTAAAAAATTGTTTCACTTTCAGGTTCATGCTGAAACACATGTGGGAACACCTGCAAGAAAATTTAAGAAAAATACAATAAAAAACTCCATGCATCTTCAGTTCTAGTATCTATCTGCCTTTCCCCAATAGGATTGTAATTTAATGCATTCAAAAACTTACACTGAATTCTTCATCTCAATAAAGGCAGGAGAAGGATGGGGTTGCATTAATGATTCCAAATCCGATTCCGTTAGGGACTCAATAGCCAAAGAGTCATCATATGCAGGGCGTTGTCTTTTTTGGGGCAGTAGTGATCCTCTTGTGGGCTCAATAACATATGAGGAAGATGCAAGTTCTCCCTGCGGCTGAGACAATTGATGTTGTGGCAGAGGTTCAAGTATGTGTCTGTATGAGAGCTCAATTTTACTACCTTCCCCGATGCCACATGACCTTACATCCCGGTTGTCTTCAAGTGGTACATCCTGGAAAAATAGATTCTCAACTTGAATTTCTGCCACGATCAGTTGGATTTTTCTCTTCATATCCAACACAGTGTCTGCAGGGCCTATGGTAAGCGAAAGCGTTCCCTGATTTGGGATTCTAATTGACACAGTGATAGTCTCCATATTGCAACAAAAAAAAATCTGCACAAAAAAAAAAAGATAACCATGAAAAAGTGGTAGATCTCTTTGTTTTGTGCAAACAAGCTTCTTTGCTGCTCCTTTCTCAGTTTTGCAATGCAATGTGTGAAGTTAATAAGCTTGTTCGAAGGGAGGTCTAAATGAATTAAATCTGGATTAAGTCAACAGTCAACAAAGCACGTTTGAAAATAAGGCATTGGATTAAAAGTGGATGTTCATGGAAAAATAAAAATGTCAAATCCAGGTATCTTGTTCAGAGCTGAATGTAGATTACTTATTGTATCAACTACCCATTTCAACTCAATTGCAGATTTTCATCACTTAAGGCACTCAATATACATAAGACCTCAGGTCTGCTAAAAATGTTTAGTCTAACAAGTACAAGAACAAGTTAGAGCTCACAGTAGAGTAGAGAGACCATGCATTACAATCAAAATATGTTTCCTATATAAGGTGAAATTTTCATTCTACAAAAAATATATATTTATATTTATATACATATACGTATTCAACATCAAACTTGGGACTGTTTACTAAGACACGCCCAGTATTGTGGAATTAGCTGATGCAAATTCTCAATCAGAACATTAGTTGAAATTCATACATTGTTAAAGAGTTAAGTAGGAATCTGACCATCTTTCAAATGTTAGAATCTTTGAATCGAAAAAATAAAAAATGGAGAGAGAAACTTGTCAAACATAGTGAGAAGAAAATTCAAAAAATCGTGAATAATACCACCACCAACAACGATAAATTTCAAGAAACACAATAGTACATTCTATGAAATCACAAACCCAAAAATAAAAACGTAAATGGAGATGATTACTGATTCGAAGAGAGAGTGACCAACAAGAACAAGAGTGAGAAAGCTTGAACTCAAATTTCAATAACACAATAATACATTCATAGATGAAATCAAAAACCCAAAATGAAAAATTAAAAGGATACCGATTCGAATGAGTAATTTCAAGAAACACAACAACAAATGCTAAAAATGAAATACGGGGATGATTACCGATTCGAATGTAATTCTGTAAACAACTACAGACGTTACAGAGACAACGAATTTGAGTAAAATAAATGTTCAAGAAATCACGCAATAATACATCCCACAATAATTTCAAGCGTCTCTGTAATAACGTTGTTAGAGAGAGAGAGAGAGAAATAGTGAGTAAAATTCTATATAAAGCCTTGGATGCTCTACATAAACGGGTCCGTTACCCGACCCTGTAGGTAGTAAGTCAAGTAAAATTATTTAAACTTGTTCAAAATTCAAATTAATATTAAATACCTCTTTTTTTTTTTCAACAATATTTTTGTTCAAATATTGTGAAAATTTCAACCGTAACCTCCTTATCACAATTCCAATCGAGTTGATTCATTGTTTAAGAGAAAAAAGGAAAAAAAAAAATTGAGCTGGAACGAGAGCTATTGCAATACTTAATCTTAAATTTATATTAATTATAATTTAATTTTTTTAAAAAAATTATTCACAATGTTTTTGTTAGCTCAAATGATATAGTTAATACGTTTTTTTTTTTTTTTTTTTTGAATATTTAATCATACACTAGTAAAAAGATATGTGAGTAAAATTTAATTTGAAAAATTATAAATTAATCTTTTAAACCTCAAAGTTTAATTTGTTGATAAATAATAATACTTTAAATTTAATTATTTAAACATTTTTATAATAATAATTTATGATAATAATTTTTATTGTAATTAAACAACAATAAAAATGAGTAACAAAGTAATTTTTTTTAATTTTTTTTAATTTTTTTTTATTATTTTTTTTTATGTTAATATTTTTGGGAAGCAATTTTTATGAATTGTTAAACAAATAAACATTACACATAAGTGGATACATGATAATTTAAATAAGTATATTTTAATTGAATTGGCAATTCAATGACAAAATGATTAGGAAATAATTAACTTCTCCTCAAATATAAAAGAGAATATCTAGTATGTGATTGGTGAAGTTTATTTATTATTATTATTATTGAGCGGGAATAAGAACGAATTCGAGGGAATAAGAACGAATTCGAGAGCGTAAATGCAACAAAATTAAATCACAACCAAGTAATAAAATCGAAAGTGAGAGTATGCTCAAAACAAAAGTCAGCTAAAACTAGATGTGACCGTCAGCCATTAATAACTTAACCCTACTAGCCTAACTTAAAAAGAAACCTAACACATTCAAAAATTCAAATTTCAGATGCTAAATGATAATATAACAAAATAGAAACAAAAGGCAAGATAAATTTATTGGATAGGCTTGGCTGTAATTTTAAGAAGAAAAAAAAAATCCAGTTTTTACAAAAAGCTATCTTCAAACCCAAAGGACGAAAATGCATCATGCAAAATTAACATCATGAGCTTTGACAACGGATTCCAACTAGTTCTACAAACGTATCAACACAAAGCAGGGGCCTGCTCCCATGAGTCTCAAGTCTTCCTGTGAATCTGATTAATTTTGTTGAACTTCCTCTACAGGTGGGGGAGCAAATCTAACATTTGCAGCTGTTATAGGCTCATCTGCAAACAATGATCTAATATATGATGGAGTTTTCAGGGGTCGACGACCTGTCATTCGTGGATACACATCTTCAAGAAAATAGTATGCATGACCAGCTATCATTCCCTGAACCACAAAAAACGTAATTTAGTTTCAACACGCGTGAGCAATGAAATTCAACCTACAAAAAGACGAGTGTGGTGTGGTGTGTTAACTGACGGTGATCTAAAGTGTCGTATTATGACAGTTTCAGCCCCCAAGGTTCATCCCAATATTAGGATGAGGCGTGAAGAATTCAAAATGGATTTGATTGCAGTCTTCCAATGCAGGGATTGAGAGGAGGACCGAAAGCTATTAAAGAAGGTGTTTAGCAGCCAAGTACCAGGCTCATTGAAATGCAACTAGAAATTAATGGCTTTTGGGGGGGTGGGAGCCAAGTAATATATGTCCAGTTGGAAATGCCTTTCAAGGAATATGAGAAGTCCGTATTCATCGCATCACATAAGCGGCAGAATGATTTCAATTCTGTTTAAAATGATAGAATCTATGAGGTATAAAAAAAAATGGCTCTCCTTTCTGCTACCCTCTGGTGATTTCATAACATTTCTATCAACACAATCTTAGGTTAACTAAAGGATATGAACCATATTTGCAACGCAAGAAATGATATTATCAGACAACATAACCTGATATTTAACATACCAGTACATCCACCCACGCGCTAGCGCCAACAAGGACACAGAATCCTAAAAGAACCTGCAGGAACAGGAATAGAATCAGGTACTACACAAGTCAAAATAGTGAGTGATAAAGAGCCAACAATTGTTAAAACTATACAAGGTTGGATACCGTGGCTGATTGCAATTCCATTTGAAATAAACATAAAAACTTCCAATGTGAACATTTCCGTTTTAGTGTCGGGAATAAAAGGTCCTTCAATAAGAAAAATCAACCAAACAATTTGAAATAAAAACACTAATTACGTGTTTTGTAACCATATTTCCACACTAATTCACTATCATATATTTTAAAAATTATCATTTTTATGGAGGATTAAAGGTAATACTGCTCATCCCTGTTCCCACAAGTTCACATAATTTGGTCCAGCAAAGAAACATTTATATCACAAAGTCATTGGCTGCCTTCAAGAAGGACTCGTTTCTTAACAATTGTAAAATTGAGGTTTTCCTAACAAGAAAGATTTTTTAATGATTTACCATTAAAAGAAAGAAAAAAATCATTAATGAAGGCACCAAAGCAGACAATCCGTGTAAAAACAAGGGGAGTATATGAAAAGCAAATCACAAACAAAAGAAAGAATGGGAAAAAAAATTAATAATAAACTGAGATTATTTTGCTTAATGCATTGAGGGAAACCAAAGATACAAAGCATCCATGCTTTTAAGAAATAATTATGTAGCTCCCAAAAATTTCTAGCCAATCGGACTGCACGGTCCAAGGTATTAAGTATTGGTCTCACTATTGGAGGCCTCTGATACTATTAGGCATTGATGTGATTTGACTGACAATATGCAGAGTCGTGCAACTAGCATTCATAATTGTTCAACTGAATAAAACGTTTGTGCAACTAACATTTGCATAGGTCCAAATTAATAAAATGAACAAACATATAAATAAACAATGTAATGTTGGACAGAGGAAAAAAAAACCTTCTTGTAGCAGCAAAACCATTTAATTGATGTAATGAAGAACAAAGGCCATTGCAGTCCCATCGCTTTCGCTGTATGCTAGTGCTACATAAATGCATAACATGTGGGATATTATATACAATAACAGAACAATTCAGGAACACACACAACAGTGCTGAAGGCAAATGAAAAAGGGACTATTCAAATGGCTCAGGCCATAGGTTCTTGATTTCTGGGGAGTGGGAAGAGAAATTTTCGGACATCATTCAGGCAGCGTTAGTCAAGGTTACTTCAGATCATACTCCATTGGTTTTGGACTGTGGGGGTATGAGCTCTAGGCGTTCTCCGTTTCGATTTAAGAATATGTGGCTGCGGGTGGAGAACTTCCAAGGGTCTGTCCAGTCATGGTGGGAGGAGGCCACGGCTATCGGGTCTACTAGTTTTGTGTTAGCCCAGAAACTACGGGTCCTCAAAACTGAACTGAAAAGGTGGAATATGGAGGTGTTTCGAATGGAGGAAAAATAGGGTCCTTGCTGAAATTTCTGGGATTGATCGCCTTGATGAGGAGGGTGGAGAGGGGGATTCCGTGCGCTCTAGGAGAGCAGCTTGCTAGGCAGATTTCGCCGAGATTGCTTCAATGGGAGAGATTTCATGGCGTCAGAAGTCTAGGGCCTTATGGCTCAAAGAAGGGGATCGCAATACAAAATTTTTCCATAGACTTGCAAATGCCCATAGAAGGAGTAATCACATCGGGCAAATCCAGGTTGATTGTCAGGAGTTGTGTATGGAGGAGGAGGTTCGTAGGGGGATTGTTTCTTTCTATCAGAGGCTCTACACTGAGTCGTTGGGCTGGAGACGTAAGCTTGACGGTCTCAATTTTGATGTTATTTCTGAGGTTGAGAGAGATGGCCTAGAGGTTCCATTTACCGAAGAGGAAGTGTTGAAGGCTTTGTCGAGCTGTAATGACGACAAAGCACCGAGGCCGGACGGGTTCCCCATGCGCTTTTTGTTGGAAAGTTGGGAGGTGGTTAGAAGGGAGGTTATGGGTACTTTCCAGGAGTTTCATTCTCACGGGGTTTTTGAGAAGTCGTTAAATGCTTCCTTTATTGCTCTTATACCTAAGAAGGGCGGCGCTACTGATATTAAGGACTTTAGGCCAATTAGCTTGGTGGGCTATATTTATAAGCTCATTGCTAATGTTCTTGCTCTCAGGTCGAGGGATGTTATGGATGGGGTTATATCGGAGTCACAAAATGCCTTTGTTAAGGGAAGGCGGATCCTCGATTCCATACTCATCGCCGGTGAATGTGTGGATTCTAGACTGAGGAGTGGTGTCCCGGGAGTCTTATGTAAGCTCGACATCGAAAAAGCCTACGATCACGTTAATTGGAGTTTTGTATTGTATTTGCTTGAGAGAATGGGCTTTGGAAGTAGATGGAGGACTTGGATAGAGAAATGTATCTCGTCCGTTAAGTTCTCGGTTCTTGTGAATGAGTCTCCTGAGGGTTTCTTTGGAAGTTCTCGGGGGTTGAGACAAGGTGATTCATTGTCGTCCTTTCTCTTTCTCATTGTTATGGAGGGGTTGAGTAGACTGATGAAGAGGGCAGAGGATTTGGGTTTTATCAAAGGATTCAGAGTGGGTAGAGATTCAACTCATCAGGTGGAGATATCCCATCTGTTGTACGCAGATGACACTTTTGGTTTTTTGTGATGTTGAAGCAGCCCAATTGAGACACTTGAGGTGTATCCTAGTCTGTTTTCAGGCAATTTCTAGGTTGAAAGTTAATGTTGGCAAGAGCGTGCTTGTCCCGGTTAGGGAAGTTCAGGGCATTTCCTCATTAGCTGAAGTTCTTGGGTGTGGGGTGAGCTCCTTCCTTATTAATTATTTGGGTTTGCCCTTGGGGGTGTCTTCTAGAAGGGTGGGGACTTAGGACCCTGTGATTGTTAGGTTTGAGAAGAGATTGGCGGAGTGGAAGAAGCAATATTTGTCAAAAGGGTAGAAGGTCACTCTTGTTAAGAGCACTCTTTCAAACCTATCCACTTATTTCCTATCCATGTTCCAGATTCCATGTTCTATTGCTGAAAGGATCAAAAAAATTCAACGGGATTTCCTATGGGGTGGAAGGGGCGAAGAGTTCAAGTTCCATCTAGTCAAGTGGGAGCATATTTGCAAGCCTGTTAAGATGGGGGGCCTGGGCATTCGGAGGCTGATCCCCTTTAATAGAGCTCTCTTAGGCAAGTGGTTGTGGAGATTTGGGAGAGAACGACATCGCCCGTGGAGGAGGATTGTCTCATGTCGGTATGGGGAAAAGAGAGGTGGGTGGTCTTCATGCCCAATCCCTAGCACAGGAGGAGTTGGAGTGTGAAAATTTATTCGGAAAGGCTGGGATGTTTTTTCCTCTCAAATTAGATTCAAAGTTCGGGATGGTAGATGTGTGCGGTTTTGGGAGGATTTATGGTGGGGAGACCAGCCGTTGTCTTGCTCTTTTCCCAGACTTTTTAGAATAGCTACTAATAGACATGCCTTTATAGTTGATTGCTATCGGCTTCATAGCAGTGGGATTACGTGGGATGTGCGCTTTAGGCACTCTTTTCAGGATTGGGAGTTGGATGAGGCTTGCGCTCTTCTGGATATGTTGTATCGACAGGAGGTAGGTGGCATTGGTGATGATGTTCTCTTGTGGGTTCCTTCTTCCCATGGAGGATTCGAGGTCCGATCCATGTTTTTGTGTCTTTCCAACTTTGTTGGTTGCGCTTTCCCTTGGAAGACTATTTGGCGCTCTAAGGCTCCTCTCAGTGTGGCATTTTTTGTGTGGACTGTAGTTTGGGGTAAGATCTTGACGTTGGATAACCTGAGGAAGAGAGGCATTATTATTGTTAATCGGTGCTGCCTATGCAAAAGTGGTGGTGAGTCTACAGATTATCTACTCTTACATTGCCCTATGGCGTACGATTGTTGGAATCTTATTTTCGGATTGTTTGGTATGTCTTAGGTGATGCCCCGATCCACGAGGGGTATGATTGATGCGTGAAGGGGATGTCACGTGGGGGGTCAGACTCGTGAGTGCTGGCGGACCATTCCGCATTGTGTATGGTGGTGCAAATGAAAAGAGAGGAATAACAGATGCTTTGAGGGAGTAGAGGTGTCTACGGCAACCTTGAAACTTCATATCATTCGCTCCATTTTCAGTTGGGCAAAGGGGAGAAATTGTTCTTCTTCTGACGATGTTGTTGATCTCTTAGACTCCTTAGGTCCATAGATTCCTGGTTTGTTTTTGTACATGGGACGTGTTCCCCTTCTGAACGCTTTTTATGAATTTTTACTTATCAAAAAAAAAAATTGGCTCAGGCCAATATTCTTTAGCTAAAGTAATTAAGCAGACAACAGACAACTCCAAAGTCTTCAGCTGATTGCTCAACTTAAATTATTTTAACAAGCATAAATTAAAATAGCACAAAGAGAAGAATAGATTAGGAACAGCTAATCAAATGCTAGTTCAACAAGAACACATGAATGAGACTTTTGAAATTCACCAACCCATGGAAGGTAAAGAGGCCCAAGAAATTCATATGGATAGAAGGATTTTGATTGCTCCACACATAAACACGAAAAGTTGGGTTGTGTGTGTGTGTGTGTGTGTGGGGGGGGGGGGGGGGGGGGGGGGGGGGTTGGTGTTTTGCGAAGATCAACTTTAACCAAATAAGCACATTTTCTATGCTAATGAAGGGGAACCAACTAACCATCATGAATGTGAGGGAATGGCTAAGGAATATAATCTTTGTAAATGACTTTTGAGACATGAGGTATCATTCCCCCAATAAGAACAATGCCCATTTTAACGGTGGCACCAAATAAAAGCATGTAATAGAAATCTGTAGTCCTTCCTCTGAAGGAATTCTCTTCAAGAAGCTTGCAGTACCGAGCAAGAAAGAACATATGGAACAGGAAGTCCAAGTCTCGCATTATCAAGAAACAATCCCATTAGGAAAAACATCGATGAACAAGAATAAACAGATACAATCCCGTTAGGAAAAACATCGATGACCAAGAATAAACGGAGATTAAATTTCAATAAATCAATTAGATCAACATTTGGATACCTACATCTGGAAAAAGCTACAAATGTTCAAGAATAAATGAGCACATTTACCAAAGCAGAAAATTAAAGAATTTTGAACATTAGAAGGCAGGTTATTTATTTAACTGTGGTATCAGAGATTATTTGGCCCAACAGTGGTATTAGAGCCTTTTTGGGACCCATCATGTTAGCCGGTGTAAAACTTCATCAACCTATATCCAGCCCAAGTAGCAGTGAAGCTATTGACTTGACTTTAATATGCTTGTTAATCTATTTCCAATTTGCCCTATATTTTCAACTTTTGGTGGTGATTATATGATCGCTTTTAGCATAAAGAGGGAACAAGACTTGCGTGTCAACAAAATAGGAAATCTATCGTAGTGTGTGTAGGCATGCATTTAAGTAAATCAAGTAGATGAGGAATCAAATCAAGTCATAATAAACACAAACCATGATATCAAAAAACATTATAACTCTCATCCAAACTGGGGACAATAATCTCTTAAAATGGCAAATTCAGGAAGGCAAGAAAATGAGATAGCAGCACAAAACTCTATATCAGCTGGTGATTGGATCCGATGATAAAAACATTTAGAGTTACCCATTAGAATGATATATCACTAAAGGGCACAACTTCCAGTTTCAAATTTATTATATAAACACATGTAAATAAGTGGTGCAAACTAAAGACCTGCATGTACATGCATTCTGATGTATACTGCAATGATTTGGATCAAATATATTTTCCAGGGGATAAGATGATGATTATCCAAATGCATTCACAAACATAAGACTTTTAATAATAAGGGAGAAGAAAGGCAAGGAATGTGGATGGCATAAAGAAGTCTAGGTAAGTTAAAAAAACATATTGGGAAAGCACAACAGGATGTGAATGTCGAGGTGGAAGAGCTGTTAGTGGTAACATGTGAAAAGATGGTATAAAAGAAACGTTGAGGTGGAAGAGCTGCTCGTGGTAACATGTGAAAAGATAGTATAAGAAAACAAAGGCATTCATTAGAAGGAAAAAGGTAGCATTAATTAAGGATAGGATGTAAGCAGTTTGTTATAAGTAAGAGTAATTGATTCACACAGATGTAACTCAAAGACACGAGGATGGTCAAAAAAAGTACAACAATCAACAATCAGAAGACATAATAGTATGTGTAGTTAACAGAAACCATGGATCCATACATAGTTGGATGTTGAGAAAGGATCTGCATAGTCCTCATCAAGAAGCTAGGATATAATGCTTAATTTAGCTGAATTGAGTTTGATAGTTTGATTGAAGGCAAGGCAAAAATTTGACTAACTTGGGACAATTATATCAAATGTATTAAGAGTTCCTTAACGGAAACAAAAAAGTTATTGAGCAAATCCAACAATAGTTGCCATAGGAACCATTCCTTTTATTAACTCTAATGATTTAATGTATACAATTTTCATGATTATTCAATCCAAGAGAGGCTACAAAATTTGATGACCTGATAAAATAAATGCCAAATTAAGTGAAACCTATAAAAACTATTGAATCTTTATGACAAACTTCACAGGAAAAAAGAGTTAATAGATTAAAGAAGCAATCACATCTTATTCACCTACTGTTAAAACTTAAAAGATTGAAAATCTTTTAAGCTCGGAAATTGTTGTTATAAGTTGCATGAAAAATGAAGTGGTAAAGAAAATGAGATTCCAGATTCTGAAGATGAATCTACAAAAAAAAAAAAATTTAGAGATGTAAAACAGAATAATTATCTTGGCAAGAGAACTTTAATAATTGCAAAACAGAATTACACAAAGACACAAAACAATCATTTTGCAATTTCATTTCAGATGAACGTGCACGTGCCACCCTGTTTTCTTTTACGAGGACATTCAATATACAAGAAGAAGGTATGCCCAAACAAGCTTCTCTATCATCAGCTAATATTTGCATTTGACCTTCATTAAATATCCATTCTTTTTTTATGTTTATATTTCTCTGGTTGGAGTTGCAAATCCACAAAGGTCCGGAACACCCAGTTAAAGATTATAACTTAAATCGAGATTCTGAAGATAAACAAGAGCAATTCTTTTAGGACCACAAAAGAGCCACGCACACAAATCCAAAGCAACCACATTCCATCCTATTTGATCAAAGGTACTATCTACAATCCATGAAAATCTTCAGAAAAGATGAGGAGTAACTGACAGATTCATTTTGGGCCTCAGGCTTCATCTAAAAGTAGCAACCAATCAGATTGGCAATACAGACTATTGTTGATATCAAAGTATATGTGCGTGTGGTGTTCATGTGCGCGTCAATAGAATAAAGGGTGGTGTAGATGAAGTCAATCCTAGAATAAGCTTTGTAAACAGAAGCGACATGACAATGAAGGAATACTACTGCAGATTATAATATGTCCCAATTCCCGACTTAGCATTTCTCCCTTATGAATTCCTTAGAACAAATCATCTTAAAACACATAATATAATATGCTAATGTGAAACTGTGATTGCACCCTTCTAATGTATAATCACTTAAAAGATCAAAACTAAACAAATTACCCGTTTCAGGAAGTAGAGAAAATTGGTGATGAGGCGCCAGAATTGATAATGCTTGACCACAAGCTTAGGGTTCATGTACAAATTATATGGAGATATTATCTGCAAGAGTTAATAAGAAAATCACCAACATTGATATAAAAAGAACAAACACATAAATTTATACTCATTACGTACAAGAATCCATAACTTCAAAACCTCAAAACAACTTCAAGAAAAAAACACTTCTTTTTCAAGTAAAGGGAATTGAAAACCCAATATTTTTACAAAATAATAACAAAACCCTAATTGATATATAACCAAACAGGGGTGACGATTGCAGCAGTGAGATAGAGGAACGGGTGATAATTGGGATCTGCTTGTACCATTCTTCAACAGCTTGAGCCATCACTCTCCGGTTTCTATTTCTACTTCGAAACCAAAACCCTAATATAATTTTATACGAAGACACATATAAAACAATATCGTATGAAATATGAACTTCGAATTGATAGTTAGTATAAAAGAAGCCGTTTTTTTATCACTAGAGCGGTCAAAAAATTGCGTTGATGAAAAACATGTTAGGTGTTTGGTAACACATTATAATGTAACAATATTTTTTTAAAACACTTTGTAAAGCTAATTTTACAATCACATCCTTTAATATTTTTGATAAGTAATAATAAAATAAAAAGGCGTTCAAAAGAGGAACACGTCCCTTATACAGAAGTGGAACCAGGGCTAAGGCCCAAAGAATCCAAGAAAATAATTAAATCATCAGAAGAGGAGCAAGAACTCCTCTTCACATAATTGAAAAAAGAACGAAGAATGTAAAGTTTCAACATTGCTGTAGACAACTCTTTCCCTTCGAACATTCTACTATTTCTCTCCTTCCAAATGCACCACCATACACAATGTGGGACAATTCTCCAGAAATCGCGAACATCCCTTCTCACGCGACATCCTCTCCAAACATGAATCAATTCCTTAGTAGATTGTGGCATTACCCAACGCATGCCGAACAACCCAAAAATAAGATTCCAACAGGTGTTTGCCACAGGGCAATGCATAAGGAGGTGATTAACTGACTCCCCATCTTTCTTGCATAGACAACACCAATTAACAATACAATTTTCCATTTTCCTCAAGTTATCAATTGTCAGAATCTTATCCCAAACAGTGGTCCAGACAAAGAAAACCACCCTAGTTAGAGCCATGGATCGCCAAATAGTCTTCCACGGGAAGTCACGGTTATCAAAATTAGACAGACATAAGAACAAGGATCTTACTTCGAAACGACCGTGGGAAGATGGAACCCATATCAAATCAACATGACCTCTGTCAACACCCTCCTGCCGATACAAAAGATCCAGAAAAAAACACATACCTCGTCCAACTCCCTATCCTAAAAAGAACGCCGAAAGTGCACATCCCACGTAATCTCACTGCTATCAAACCGATAACAGTCAGCTATGTAGGCATGTTTATCAATTGCAATACTGAATAATCTAGGAAATGTACGAGATAATTGCTGATCACCACACCAAAGATCTTCCCAAAAACGAACGCGACGTCCGTCACGAACTTTGAATCTGATATGAGCAGAAAAGGCATCCCATCACTTCTGAATGGACTTCCACATCCCTACTCCTCCCACAAGAGAAACCGGACGTGTAGACGAGCCGCCAACCTCTTCCCCAAACCGACAAAAGACTAACATGCGCCAAGGACGATGTCTTTCTCTCCCATATATCCATAACCATTTACCAAAGAGAGCTTGATTGAAAGGAACTAATCGTCTTACGCCCAGACCACCCAATTTCATAGACTTGCAAACTTGCTACCATCTAACAAGGTGATACTTGAACTCGTCACCCCTTCCTCCCCGTAGGAAGTCCCTTTGAATTTTTTCAATTCTATCCGCAACAGAGCAAGGGATTTGGAACATAGATAGAAAATAAGTGGGGAGGCTCGATAATATACTCTTAATAAGAGTAACTTTACCCCCCTTGGACAAGTATTGCTTATTCCATCCTTCTAATCACTTCGCATACCTAGACATCCTACCAGACATTGTCGTTCTTTAATATAATGTCGCCATATTTGAAAATAGCAACTTTATAAAAGAAGGACTGGAATTATCTTTATAAAAAGGGCTAATTACACTCACACCCCTTGAGGTTTACTGTCACAAGGGGAACTTATCCCACAACAGATCCGGATCGAGAAGGGAATGGTATATATGGGTTGGGTGTTAGCCCTACTTAATAGCTTGAGCTTTTAGGTCAGATCGCGAAGCACCCGGCCCGTTTCAATTGGTATTAGAGCTAAACCCATTCTTTAATCCGGTGTCATGCCAAGCGCCCTACCCGAAGGGATCCGTGTGAGCCTTCTAGGTAGGCAAAGTGGCCCGACCGCAACGAGAGCGTTGCGAGTTCATGTGGGGGAGAATATTACAAGGGGAACTTGTCCCACATCGAATCCGGATGGGGAAGTGAATGAGTATATATGGGTTGGGTGTTAGCCCCACCTAATAGCTTATACTTTTGAGTGCGAAGCATCCGGCTCGTTACATTTTAGGGGTGGCAATTCGTGTTCGCGGGTCGTAATCGTGTCGTGTTAACTTTAGGGTATTATACTAAACAGCTCAACCCGAACACGACCCGTTTAATAATCGTGTCAAGAATTCTCAACACTAACACAATCTATTTATTAAATGGGTTACACGTGTAACCCGTTTAATGACCTATTTACAAAAAATATATATATATATTACTTAAATTATTAATAATACTCAATAAAATAATAAATATTAAAAAAAAAAAATACAAGTTTTAATCAACCAAATTACTAAATAGTTTATAGTTTACAAAAGATTAAATTATAAGACACAAGTTTATATAGTAATTTTAGAACTTAAACAGAAATTTATTTACGACATATATAGTTAAACGTGTATAAACGAGTTACACGAGTTGAACCCCTTAACCTAAACACGACACAATTAACTAAACGGATTAATCGTGTCAACCCGTTTATGACCCGAACCCGTTTAAGGTCAACCCAAACCCATTTAACTCGTGTCGTGTTCAAGTCGTGTTGGCGGGTCGTGTTAACTTTTGCCACCCCTATTACATTTACCCAATTGAAAGTTAGCCCCTTTTTTGAACAATGACATCCCCTCAAGCTTGTTGTGTTTGACAATGACACTAGGGGTGAGCAAATAATCCGTCAATCCGGTCCGAACCAATCCGATCCGTGTGGTTCGGTTCGGTTTTCAGATCTCATGGTTCGGTGATGGTTTGGAAAATTTGCAATCCGGTACTCGTGATTCGGTTAACGGTCTGGACCCTAAAAAAACCGATCCGAACCGTTGCCTATATATATATATATATATATATATGCATACAATTTTAAATGTACTTATTACTTACCACCGTATTTTGTTTTTTCTTTTATTCATTATTCTTTTAAGTTAACCCTATCTTACTCTCATCTCATTTCATTACACTTCAGCCGCGCCTCCGTCCCTCAGCCTCTTCTCTTCAGTCTTCTCTCTTCACCCTCTTCTCTTCGCCTCTGTGACTCTCTCTTCAATCTTCACTCTTCGCCTCTGTCTTCCTCCTCTTGTATATATTTATCATCGTTGAAATCTATATCTGTGTACAATAAGCCGATGCTCTGACATATAAGAACGAAGGAAGCATGGTAAAGTGCACAAAGAATGAAGGGTCATCATGTCTACCCCCTCTAATGCTTCTAGCCTTTTGATTTGGGGGCCTAGATCAGACCTACATCTATATTTACTTTTTTGTTTTGCTATAAATCTCTTTTACTTTCCAGAAAAAAATATATATATGCTAGTAAAGTCTTATTATATCATTCTTTGTATTTTCTTGTATCATGCTCCTTGGTTAATTAATTTTGTTTTGTTCGTTTGATATAGATTTTCTGTTAACAAGCACTGTTGGGTGTTCTAAATCTTTATCATCTTGGTGACTCTTGTTATTCCTTGTTTCGATTTTTTCAGATTTGAATTCCTTTCTTTGGTATGTTTAGTTCCTTGTTTTGATTTTTCCAGATCTGACTTGTTTTAATTTTTCCAGATCTGACTTGTTTTGATTTTTCCAGATCTGAATTCCTTTCTTCGGTATATTTAGTTTTTACTTTGGGTTCAGATATAATATTATTTTGGAGATTTAATATCGTAGTAAGTTAAATGATAAGATTTAAGTTTGTTTTATGCCCAATTTGTGGAAACCGATCCGGTCCGATCCGTGAGTAACGGATCGGTTTCGTTCGGATTGAAAGCCCCCACAAATCGGTTTGGTTTCAATTTTCACCAATCCGTGGGAACCGGTTCGGTTTGAACTTTATCCCCAATCCGAACCATGATCAGGCCTAAATGACACCTTTAAGCACTCTGACGCATAATAAAATGACTAGAGTGCCCTTTGACCTGTTAATTGGTTCATTGGAATGCTGAAATTACCAATTTAACCTTCTAACTAATTTTAATATACCTAAGTAACCTCTTCGACTGTACAGAGAATATATATATCATCTCATCCACTTATACATACACGTATATATAGTTATGTATATAGAGCGAGAACGGGGTAAGAGGAGGGGGAGAAGAAAAGGGTGGTTGCCACCTCCACTGGCAGCACACCACCACAACCACCATCACCATGCCGGTGGCCATGTGCAACACCAACCTCTCCATGAGCCCAGAAGTCAATTAATGTAAGTAACCTAAAGCTATTGAGTTATAACCACTGGAGGTATCAGACCACACAAGTAGTGAGCATCCCTCTCTTTCTCAGTAAATGCAAGCCCCGTGTTATGGGTTGGGTTCCTTATGTACCCACTGCACCATCAAATCAAGAGGTAAAAATCCATAGTTAGCAATTTGAACATACATTTATATACCACACACACACACACACACACACACATATATATATATATTGTATACATATAATAAATTTATTTTGAGCTTCAACTGAGCAGAGCATTAACTAAGGTAGATCAGTGAGCATCATGATTTTCGAAGAGAAATTAAAAATAAAAATAAAAATAAAAAAATCTAACAATAGATTCAGAACAACCAAAAAAAAAAAAAAAAAAAAATTAGATGGAATTGATCATATGACATGGTAAATTAATTAATAAGAGGCTTTTGAATGTGATGAAAAAGTTGAGATCAACACAATTGAAAGCATCAGACTGGAAATTGAATAATTCTCTTCTAAGTAAATGATATTGATCATTTGAGAAATTGAATCACGTAGGTACGTACTTGCAATGAGACAATCCAATTGGTGACAACCTGGTCCTCAGTGACACAATCCTCACCGTAAACGTTCTCACCGCCACCGGCGAACCACCTCCACTGGCGGCACACAAACACAACCACCACTTCATTTTACACGATTCATTCATCTCCAATTCCAAACCAAGACTTTCTAACCACTTTACCCTCTTCAATTGAACCGTCTGCCTCGCCCAATACCTCCACCCATCCCAACCACGCCTTGCTTAGGGTTTCCAATACTCACTCCGCTACCGTCAATCCTGGCCATTCAATTTATGCCCATCCGACCTTCAATCTTTCAAATTCTCCACCGTCGGGATTCTCTCAGGCACTGCTATGATGTTTCTAAGTTCTTCAACGTTCCCTGGCCGGAATCAAGCGTGAGTTCAAGCAATTGCGGGCTCTGCTGTTTTGGATGTTCGGAATTACCCGTCGCCTCAGTCGGGCAGCTCTTCTCGATCTGTACCTTCTTCTCTGAGATTCCAACACGGTGATGGTTGCGGTGGCGATGGTGGGGGTGGTGGTGATGGTCAAGGTTGCGATGGATAAAGAAGGAAGGGTGGACATTGGTGACAAGATGGAGGTGGCAACGGTGAGAAGATGGAGGTAGCAATGGTGGACGTTGTGGTGGTCGGTTTATCATGAACCTGAGAGGGTTGATAGAGTTGCAGAAGTTATGGGTTTTACACAGAGAGAGAGAGAGAGAAGTGATCTCTGCTCCATTCTTTAGATTAATGGTCGCATTCTAAACTTTTTCTTTTAATACAAAATCACTATCATTAATTTTAATTTTTAAATTTAATATTTTTTAATATAATTAAAGGTAAGTGCTATAAAAATAAAAATAAAAATCACTTCACCTAAGAAAATAGGTCTCACCAATATTAAAGTTAACGTTGTCTATTTGAGAGTAAAAAATAAATTAAAAATTACACTATTTACATGAAACATCGACTAAAAAATAATAAAAAATTAAAAATAAAATCTCTTTTTTTTTTATCCACTTAATCAACTTAGTGTAACTTGTGATTTGCATAAACTTCACCCATAAAAAATTTAATAGATTATAATTAAAATTATTGTATACCTCCCCAAATACATGCTATTTAAAAACTAAAAATTCAATCTATTTTTCTCCGACCCGTCACAAATTATAACCACTTGTAAACATATTCCAATTACTCATCATAATAAGTTGCATAAAACAAAACGGGCTTTAAGAGGAATCCATATTAATTTTTAATCAACGGTTGCTACCAGTGTTGTTTGGCTACAAGCCTACAACATGTTCTGAAAGAGTATCAATTGGCTCGTGTGATTGGGAAATCACCTCTTTCTCCCGTAAGATTAAGGCTTCGTTTGGATAATACACGTAACAAAACATAAAAGAAAGATAATATTAATTATGAGAGAAAGATAATAAAATAAAATAAAAACAAAAAAAATAGTAACTTATATTCTTGTTTACAAAGGAAATAATAATATTCTTGTTTGATAACAATTAAATTATTATTATTATACTTGTTGATTCAAAAATCCTCGCCACCGGAAACGATGGCGTTTTACCTATATAATAATGGAGATTAGGATCCTCCGACGATCAAGTCTCATATAACAAAAAAGTCTATGTATTAAATTTTCGTGAGTGTTTTCTCATGCCTTGTTTAATGAGTCTTTATTATATTTAAAGTTGTCTCGAGATCCAGTTGGTCGCGTAGATTTCAATTGGGGAGATTTGGTTTATCTTTCTTATGCAGTAATTTTGAACAGAGAGATGGAGAAAGAAGAGGATAAGTGAATTAGGTGCACTTGTCATTAGGGCATATTTAGTTATTAATTGGTATTTCAAGGGCATTATAGTCTTTTACATTTGATAAGGGTTTTATGGTCATTTAAATAAATATGGATTGTCACGTGCTTGGCGTTTGTTACAAAATGATCGGCCGGTTACCGGATTGGATAAACTACAACCAGACGGGATAATTTTGGAGGGGTTTTCTGCTTATTTAGAAATTTCCTAAGATTTTTTGCTCATTAAAACATAATTGAAGGGGTTTAATGCACTTTACCCCAAAAAAAAAAAAAAATGAAAGAAGCTTATAAATAGAATCCATGTTATACAAATAGTTGGCGGTAATGAACATTTGAGAAAAGTCTCAATTTTACAAAGTTTATTTGGTCGCAACATTTGATTCATGAATATAATAGTTATAAAGTAATGTTTGGTTGAAATTTTATTTTATTTTAAAAAATGAAGTATTTCCTAAATTGTGTTTTAATGAATAAAATTAAAAGAGAGCGTTTATGGGATCAGGTGTGGGTTACTGGGCTGGATTAGGTTCAATATGGGTTGGGTTGAAATTTAAAAGAATTGGGTAACTGGGTATTTTGTTTAGGATGATTTATGGGTGGTTAAAATTTGAATCGGGTTGGATTATTCTCCTTTGTCCAATATACTTATATGGGCGATTTGTAAAAAAAAACCCCTCAACTTTTACCCGTTTATAAAAAATTCTTCTTATGAATATTTTTAACAAAAAATTTCCCTCAACTATTTCGAGAGGGTGACTTTAACTAACGTTCATTTAGTAAACATATGCTATTACCAAATTACCCACACTTTCTAAATTTTTTTTGATGACTGCTTAAAACGAATTTTATTTCCATTCGTTCACGTTTGGATTCAATCTTTACAAAAGATTTACACCAAGCGAATCAACAGAAATTGGCATTGAATATGTTCGTTTACACCAAGTGAATCATCCATCGACTCTCAGTATCATTCATCTTTCTCATGCAGTTCACTCACTCGCACTAATAGCTATCCGAAGATCACGCACGTTTGGATTGAAATTGGAAGATTTAATATTTGGGGTTTTAAACCCTATTTTATTTATTTATTTGTGGTGGTTGTCCTTTTTGACAAGAAGACAACATAATCATTACTTACTTTTAGTGGGATTACTATAATTATTTAACTTTTATGCGCTCGTATAGGTAAACCACCGCCTCTCAGGTCCCTCGACTGATTCTACCACAAACGAGTTTATATAAAAAAAAAGCTATAAAAATTTCAAAATAAGCTATACCTTGTTTGGAGAGATCATCATAAATGATTGAAGTGTGTCGTTCACGATACATAAAATATTCAGCCAGAGCCCTCCTGTATAAGGAGCGAGATATTGTAATGCAGCAAGGGAATCCACTGTTTCGGCTACCACAATAGTGTGTTCCATCACCCCCCTCTCCTGGAAGTTAGTCACTACTTGAGCCCTTCTATACATAAACATATAATATGGTTTCATACTAATTTAAGATGATAGTAGGAAAAAATTATCATATGGATATGATAGGATAAAAAATAAAATAAAATAAAATAAACGTGACTTATAATATGGTTTCAGACTGAAAGGAGAAAAGTAAATAAAATAAATTTGATTTAATTTTCACACACGTATATACTATTATAGTATATATGATTCAATTATAATATTGAAACACTATTTACATTCAATAGCACACCTGCATCAAAATATATGATTCAATTATAATATTAAAACACTATTGTATGAATAAAATAGTACGAAGAATTTGCTGTCATGGCAAGAGTAAATAATAATTAAAAAAAGCCCTTTAATATTAAGGGACAATTTCATCAAAAAAAAAAAAAAAAAAAAAAAAATGGCTCAATAAATTATTTAAACGAACAGTTAAAGTCCCCTCAAGTTAGGTGAGGGGAATTTTTTATTTTTTATTGCTAAAAATAGTGTTTTTTTGCAAACGGGTGAAAGTTAGGTTTTTATTTATTTATTTGCTGTTTAAACCCAAATCGGCTGAAAGAGCGCGCGAGACTTCAGGCAAATCTAGGACTTGAGGCGGCAAGGAAGTGAGTCGGTGGCGTATGCCGACGTGGTCTGACGGCCACGGATGAGCAGAAGGCGGCTAGCGACGACGTCGAGAGGTTCCGGGAAAGATTGGGGGTACCTCTTCTGTTCGCGTCTCTCCTGTTCTTCTCCTCCTCCTTTCTCTTATTTATTTATTTTTTGTGTGGCTTTGAGACCGACGACTGAAGGTTTTGAATGTTAGGGCTTTAGGGAATGTGGGGCTAATTGGTTGCAGGGTTTCATGATGGGGCTGTGGTTGGCTTGAAACAGTAGGTTTTGTGGTGTTGATGGGTTTCCAGCGAGGGTGAGTGAGCTGTTAAGTTAGGGTTCATGGTGTGGGTTGTGATGAGCGGCAGCGGTTAGGGGTTGTTTGAGTGGTGTTTTGCTGCAATTTGGGGGTTTCAGTGGGTTTGATGGATAGTGGATGTGTCTTTTTTTGAATATACGTGCCCTCCAGTATACTGGAGGATATTCGCCATATTTTTTTTGTACATAAATCTTTATACAATCCCGTATTTTTTGATCTTCTTGGAGACCCTCAGATAATTTTTTGGTTGTGACTTTGTGGGCGGATGTGCTGTGGACAAGCAAGCTACACACTTGGTGCACAATCCCTATACAAAGTGCTATATATGTGATTGGTGTACTGTAATTGGTATGATTTTTTTGGGGTAAAACAGACAAAAACTGACAATATCATACATGTGGTGGAGTGAGTCATTAAGTAATTTTTTTTGAGATTTTCTTGAGGGTGACACACGGGTTAGGGCACTGCTGGTTGTCAATTAGGGTTGGTAATTGTGGGTGTTGAGTTTCAGGACTGATAGGTTAAGGCTATAGATTTAGGCCGTGAACAGTAGCAGATGAATTTGGGTGGTAAATAGTGACAAAATAGCAAAGGCTTTGAATACAATTTTAAAAGTAGGATTCAGATTATCCGACTATGGATTGAGTAGAAAATCTAATATTGTGATAATGATTCAATAACCATTTTGTTCATATAACAAATAGGATATGGATTTGTGTTTTTGTACTGATGAAATAAAATAAAATAAAAACTAAATGGTTGTGAATTGTACATCATGTTGGACTTGGATTGGAACCAAGATAGTAATTACTCTCCTAAGATACTAGTATAACAATCACTTAATTTAAGGACGCAAGAAGAGAACTTCAGAAGCAGACTTGAGAGAAACGAATGTGAAGGGAGAGTAATCGATCGACGGCACGAAGGGGAAGGGGGAGCCAGCCTTGTGGAATAGTTCCATGTTAGTTACTCTCTCCTCTTTTTCTTCAAATTTTCCTTTTCTTTTCATTATTACAAGCCCTAATTTTCAATTTTTCAAATCAAAAGTTATTTCAGACCACCTTATTTTCTTATTCCCTCTCTCTTTTTTTCCCTGTTCATGGTGATTTGAGTTCTTTGTTACAGAACCCATTTCAATCTCTCTTTTCTTACCCTAGTTTTGATCCCCTTTGTTTTACCTTTATATGGAAGATATTAAACATTTTTTCAATAGCAGAATGAACGTTAGTTACATAGATAAAAACCTTATCATGTTTAGATTTGGCGTTTCTGTAAATTGTAAAAGGGTATAGCTAATCCGATCGGACATTTGACAAAGTGATTATTTTTATTGTGCTTATCCGATTCGGATCTGATTGATATCCATTTACAAACAGAGTGAATATCGATTGAGGGTTAAGAACAACAAGAACATGAGAGAAGAAAGGGAAGACCTCCGTCTCTAGTCTCAATATATCCTCAATATTTAATGTGAATCCAAAACTGATTATATGAATTACATATATGCTTATTTATAGGCATTCAAAATTTCTTAACAACTAAGGAACTTGACAACTAATTAACACACAAAAATATCTCTGTTAAACTACAAAAAAATATGTGTGAAAACATTAATGCAGCAACCATGGCATCCTTATCTAATTGCAGCTCTTACGGTAGCTGCCTAGTCTAGTGTAGGTTCATAGACCAGTCAATACTCTGCATCATACTTGACACGCATGGTGGACTAGGCTGATTTACCCACCTAACCTAGACACATCATACCAACTATAAATTTCCCAATCCGGGGTACTCCTTTTTTTCCAGTTGCCGATGTTCTCAATCTTCTTCGGCTTTAAGTTAGTAGCGAGCCACCTTCTCTCTCTCTCTTCCCGTATAAATCGCTGCCCATGTATTTATATAGACATATATATAATGATATATATGTCCGTGTAACAATTTGCTGATTTTATAACTTCTGAATTATTTTTATCTTTGTTTGTTGTAAAATCTCTTCACTTATTTTCATGGTTTTATAATTTCTGTCATTTTTGTGATTGTGTGTTGTTGGTTTTGCAGTATTTGTAGTATCATAAATTATCTTCAGTGGAATATCGAATAAGGAATGCCATCAACAACTATATCATTAAAATGAGGAAGATAGCACGGTGTACCTCTTCTTTCAAGCAACCGAAGGTGAGTTCTATTCCAATGACCACAGAAATTAACTGTTGTCAGGAAAAAGTTAAATACATACATATATATATATATATATATTTCATTTTTCTTTTTGTAGTTCAGATCTTATTCATAACTGTCAAGTTTTTAACTCCACTGGTTTCAACTCCTCCTCCCATATGGGAAATTGAGGTTTGAGTTCTAACAACTGGCGCTTGTCTTACGCACCAAAAGAAAATTCACTGCCTATGTGAACAACTTGAAACTGTTATGACGTTCTTTTGGTTATTGTTAATGTGGTGGTTACGAAATTTTTGACAAAGTAGTACTAATTTATTTATTTTTACTTTAAAAAATGTTCATTTTTTTTTTTCCCCATGAATACTCATTCTTCTACAAATGTATGAGAAATTTTGTATATTTGTTTGTTTTTTGCCAATCGTGATGTTTTTATGGTGATTCTTAATTTTTTTTTTAGTAAAGTAATGGTTTCAATTATTTTTGTTGATGATGGTTTCTTTTTCTTGTGTTTACAATTATTTGGATGTTCAGAGAAAAGAGCATACGACGAATGGAATTAGTGGATTGCCAGACGACATCGTCACTGCCATCCTGTCTCTTTTGACACTTAAGGAAGCTGCAAGTACTAGTGTTCTCTCTCGCAGATGGAGATATTTATGGAGATATATAACTGGTAGTTTCAATTTCGATTCAAAGACATTGCTAGCTCCTTCAGCAGATGGTACTTCACTTGAAGAGCCTACTAAGTATAGAAGTTGGGTGCACAATACTTCTCCCTTTGAAGAGCCTACTAAGTATGTAAGATGGGTGAATAAAGTCTTGGAATTGCATCTTGGCACCTTCATAGATGAAATGAGGATTTCTTTTTATTTCCGTGGGCAATTCCCTTGCGATATTGATGATTGGATTAAGTTTGTAATGGAAAAGGGTGTTCAAAGGTTTGAATTGGATGTGTTAGCTGGCACGTTACCGGGTCAGTGGCTTAAATTTTACGATTTCCCAAGCCTGGAAAGCTTCAAATTCTCATTTAGGACTTCAAACAGTCATCATGTGTCACGGACTATTGGTTTCACAGATGGTTTTTGCTCCCTAACCACCCTTCGTTTGGTTGGTGTTAATATCATGGAGGAGGTGCTTGAGCATTTCTTATCCATCTGTCCCTTTCTTGAACAATTATGCATTGTCGGTACAACAAGTCTAGCAAATCTAAAAATTGCTGGCCCGTCTCTCAAATTGAAGCACTTAAGAGATATCTCACTGTCACTGTTTGGAAAATCTTGAAATTTCTGCAATAAATCTTGTTTCATTCACCTACTTTGGACGAGATATAAGTGTGCCTCTTAAAAACGTCCCTCTTCTCTCTGAGCTATCTATTGGGGGATATTTCTGTTCGTCCTTTGTTTTTGAATCTTGCAAGCATTCCTGCTATGCTGCTCAAATAGAAAAGCTCAAGTTACAAGTGTTTTTTGAGGTTAGAATACACATTTATTGCTTGATTGTGTATTCTTTTCTTTTCTTTCTTTATTGGTTGTGGTTGTCGTAAGCATCATGATCACCTTGTGCCTGCATTTTGTTAGGAATTCCATCCGTTTCCCAAGTATTTTCGTGAACTAAAAAATCTCAAGGAAGTGGAATTGTTTGTCATGAGAGATTCTGGTGACAGCCTTCTCAGTTTAGTTTCTGTGATTAAGGCGTCTCCTAAATTGGCTAAGTTTACTGTTGAGGTAAGTATCCTTTCTGTAATTTAAGGTTTGTTTTCTGATGGAAGTATTATTATTGATTTATTTTTAATTTTTTTAGTTACTTGTATGATTTTAAATTGACTTAAATGTAGAGTGATAAGAACAAGAGAGGGAGAGGTGAAAGCAGACAGGTACATATGTGATAGACTATAGGATCTTTATTGAAGAGGTTGAGGAGGTGAAAACGGTGTCATTGAGTCCTCGCCGCATCAAATAGTGAGTGTATAACGAAGGACTACTGTTAGTAAGATGGCACACAACCGTATCAGTGAGTAAGATGATTACGCAAACTAAGTTTTCCATGACCAATCACCATTATGAGTAGGCAAATCTTCCAACTTCAGAAAGATGATAATGTCAATAAATTCCATCACCCTGTCTCTCTCGCCTCTGCAAGTAAAATCCAATCTATAATATAAAAGAGGAAACATATCGAACTTGATTTCTTACTGAAAAAAATATTTAAAATTGACCCAAAAATTTAATGAACAAGTTGAAGATGAAGAAGATAACAATTGAATGTAATGCATTCCTAAAAATTGCCATTCAATTATGAAAAAAAAAATGCCATTCCAAATACACCCTTAATTTTGAGAACTTTGTAGGTTTGTGCTTTATATGATTTGAGCAACCTAAGTAAAATCTTTCATGGAGGCCTTCTGAATTTACCACAGCTATGCATCAAGTGTTAGGGAAAAGTAGACAGATAGAATGGAATGAGATAAGAGGCTGAAAAATATAAGAATTTGAAAGAGGCAAGTATCTTATATTGTCCTCAATTATGAAAAAGGAAATTAAGGAAAAGAAAAGAGAGAAGAAATATTTATCATCGGGCACAAACATAAATTTATAAAAAGATCTATTGATCCTAGCCACTCTTTTCTTGTTTAACCTTAGCTACTATGTTTTTTCATGTGATTAATATGTGATTATAGATGAAAAAAGTCGAAGTCTTACAATATGTTACTAGAATGTAAATCATGTCAATACGTTATTACCAGCCTAAATAAAAAGGAATTTGTACCTAATGCTTAAAAGTATAAAGTGCTTAAATTGATAAATTGTAGTGAGCTAACTTACAATTAGAATTTTATGATAAATATGAACATGGGACTCCCGTCTTACTCTTGCTTTATCATTTATGCGCTAATGTAACATTTGGATGGTCATTTGTTTGACAAATTGGGCCTTTCAAGAAGCAAAATTTCTGTCTGCATGTGCTATTTGTACTTAAATAAAATGGAACTTGTATAAGTTTATGGATTATGTAAATAAATATTGTTTTATCTTCTTGCTTGTAAAGTTGCAATGGTTTTACCATTTTATAATGAAAAAGGCTAATTGCGTAGCCACCAATGTAAGGTGTTAGAAAGGCATATTGGATGCAAATCTAACCTTTCATATTAATAAATAGAGTGATTATTCTTAGCCTTAAAATAGCGGTCATGTGCTAACAGCTTGGCCTTCCATTCCACAAAGGATAATGGCTCCGAGCTACCATATTTCTGTTCTATTACTTTTAGCGTGGGGTCTGAACAATTCTATGACCTTTTGTTATTTTATTTTTTAGGTAAGTAGTTCTGTAACGTTTTTAATATGATAAAACATGTAAATGGGACTCATTATTAGTTCGGATATCATTGTATGTTATTGGAAGAGAGTGAAATATTGCTATGAAGTTGAAGTTTGGCCACTAATTGCATTGGTAAGACGGCAAACATTATCCCCTTGTGTTTGTAACCATTTTCCTGGATTTGGGGGGGGGGGGGGGAGGGGTGGAATTGAATTTTCCAATCATACCTGGTTCAGGGAAAGGTCTAGAGGCAGATTAGGTTTTGGTTTGATTGGTGCGGGGGGATAGGCCAATAGCAAGGGTTTTCCAGAGGTTATTTAGGATATCTCTAGATGGTCATGTCTTCATAGCTGTTTGTTATTGCCTTGATAGCGGAAGGATGACTTGGGATTTGTCGCCTGTGAGATCTCTCCAGGATTGGGAGATGGAAGACATTGTTGAGTTCTTGGCGTCGTTGTACCAATAGAGGGTGGTAGGTAAGGGGGCCGATGTATGGGTTTGGGAGGAATCCATGGAAGTCAGTGCAAGGTGTCCTCTTTTACTAGAGGCTTCCAAATACTCGAGGGTCCATTATTCCAAGGAGGGCAGTTTGGCGTACCAAAAGTTCCCTCAAGGTTGCTTTTTTTGGATGGACGGTTGTTTTTGGTAGGAGTTTTTACAACCGACAAGAAAGAGGGTGTCAAATCGTGGTAAATTGGTGCTGTCTGTGCAAGAGGGATGGATAGTTGATTGATGATCTTCTCTTACATTATGCGGTGACTAGGGATATGTGGACATGTTTGTTTCCCTTTTTAATTAGTTGGGTCTTGCCAGGTTCCACGTTGAGCATGCTCGAGGTTTTGACCGGTTGTATAGTCGGGTCAGTAGCCTGGGATGCACGGAGAGTGATTCCGCTTGTGTTTTGTGGGGCTTGTGGTGTAGAAAGAAATAGGGAAGGAATCTTCTATTCGGGTATTAAAACTGTCCATTCTTTGTTCTTTTTTAGTTGGGTTAATGGGAGGGATTATATAGGATTTTGTAGCCTCGTGTATGGTTTGAGGGTATAGGGGATTCTTTTGGCGTAGTGTTTATTGTTTTGTATATGTTTTCTTTGGCGCGCTCCCCTTTTAAATGCTTTTAATGAAATATTACTTAACAAAAATAATAAATAAAAAATTGTTAACCTAAGGACATCAGGATATTCTCTTTGTGCTATTCTAAAAAAATTCATGCACGATTCACTTTGTGGTCATTCCTTGAGGAATTAACTTGATTGTTTAAATTTTGTGATGTTCTTAAGCATGTTCAATCTCCTGGTACTGCTAGAAGTAAATTTGTATGGAGAATTGTTCACTTGAATCCTCTCCTTTGCATGAAGTGAATTTTATTTTCATGGTTGACATTGAATAGTGATTGAATTAGAATGAGTGATTTGATAAGAGTCAGGCTTCTGTCATGGTAAGGAATCTTTATTTTTTTATAAACACCCTCAGCTTCTAATCTATGATTATTCTCTGGGGCTATTGTTAGTGTTTTTTAGCTTCCAATGCCAGTTAAAGCAACTGGGGACAGTTTCTGTAGGGATACTGAAAATAACCAAATTGTGGTAGTGTTTCTTTGTGGATTTCTTATATGGATGATTCCTGACGTTATATCCAGTATTGATGACCATTGTGTAACTGAAAAAAATTGTTTGTGACATTGTTTTTTATGACAATAGTTTGTTGCATTACCCTATGGTATTACTTGAATCACCACTGAAAAATATATATCTATATTCGTTCCCCATACACAAGGCTCCTACATCTAGCAGGGCCTAAAAGAGGTGGGTGGTAAGCAGCCTTACTCCTATTTCTAGGTAGGCTGATTTCGGGACTTGATCCCGTAATGGATGAGCACTTGAATCACAATGGGTCGGTTTGGTTTGAAAGAAGCAGCAGGAAATGAAAGAAATGGAAAAGATTTAATTTTTTGGAGTTTGGATAGGATAAAAGGAAAATTTATAAGAAATTAGGATTCCCGCAAGTGGTTGAAAATTTGTCTCCCGCAAAATTTGTGTTCTATGTTTTAGTTTCCTATTATGCCCTTACTAGTTGTTTCTCCATCTCTCAGTCTTAACAATTCCGAACAAGCCTCAAAATATTTGTTCAATTGTGCTAATAATGTAGTTTATGTGGCTCACGAGTTGGGTGCTTTGGCTATGAATGCTAGATTAAAGGAGGTTTATGAGAACAAGTTTCCTGACAAGATTAGAACTGTAGCACAAGAAGATGTATTGATGACAAGATTAGAAATGTAGAACAGGAAGATGTATTGGTGACAAGATTAGAAGTGTAAACAGGAAGATGTATTGAGACACTGATGTGTATTTTGATGTTTTCTGATCAATGGTCTAAAGGCAAACATTTGACATTGGGTGAAATTCATAGGCAGTGTCGTACTTCTACCCACCACTTAAATTTGTGATCCATGCCCATGCTCTAAAAAACTTCATTTACAACAAATTATTTTTTCGCATTATTTTACCCACAAAAAAGAAAAGAAAAAAGTACACCGGTTCATTGTAAATGGCAATGAAATAGTGGATCATCATATTTTATTGTAACAGATTCAAAAGATGCGCACTTTAAATTTTGGTATGCAATATCATCTTCTTCATCGCCACTTGTAAGTTGTAATGTGAGTCATATTAAGAATAAGGTTAAAACCTTTAATGATTTTCGCATATGAAAAATATTAGAAAACCTTTTTTCAAATACGAACAATTTAAAAATGGATATGAACAGTTATATTATTGTTTGGGCATAAGGAAAGATTTATCTAACACAAATTCATTTATTTTTCTAGTATTTGAAATTACAAGGATTCGTTTGGTAAGTATGATCATTTTCTTTTCACTTTCATGCTATTCAAACTAACAAAACAATATTTTCCCACAATTTTCTTGAAAAAATTTCATATTATCCAAATGCATGTATTTATTTTATCTAATCTTCGTGTATAAACAAGTATTTATCTGACTATCTTCCTCTATGCAGATGATTCTGAGTTCGAATAGACAGGTACTAAAAATTACAAATCTGTATTGGTTTAAAAGTTCGTTATACTCTTAACCTTGTCTGCAAATAATGCCGTCTCCTGTGGTGCTGGCAGGTAAGAGGGGGTGATCAAATTGCAGAAATAAATTCTGAAAAAGAGGCGACTAAATGTCATCATCAATGCCTTAAGGTGGTGGAATTGGTTGGTTTTGATGGGAGTAGCAGCAGTGAAGTTGATCTTGTTTTGCACATACTTGAGGTTGCCGCATCACTGGAGAAGATAATTATTGATCCTCGTCCTGTGTTAGATTGTAAAGATCCACCGAAAAGAGCCAGGAAGATAGAAGAGGCTAGAGAGCGTGCTAGGCAGCTAAAAACAATATTACCTGAGACCGTTGAATTAGTGGTTCTTTAGTTAATTAAATAAATAAATAATCGCAGAATAATATTTTTAGTGATTATTTACCTATTCTGGTCATGCTTAACTTGTATGTGTGCCCACTTAAAGGTAAGTTGTATAACTGGGTTGGAAAGTTTAACATAATTTATTAAATTTCTTATCTCACAATTCTTTGCTGAATTTCTATTTTTGAGTGCTCCTTTCACATCCAATTCAGTTCAACCATATCTTGTTTAATTTCTATTATTGAGTGCTACTTTTACATCCAATGCAGTTCAACCAAATCTTCTTGGTGGTAGCTTCTAATTTATTGGGTAGTTTTTTATTATTTATTTTATCTAATTTTGTGTGTTTATTTTATAGTATTTGAAATCACAAGGAGAGGTTTGGTAAGTATGATCATTTGTTTTCACTTTCATGCTATTCAAACTAACAAAGCAATATTTTCCCAAAATAATCTTCGTGTGTAAACAAGTATTTATCTGACTATTTTCCTCTATGCAGATGATTCTGAGTTCGAATAGACAGGTACTAAAAATTTCAAATCTGTATTGGTTTAAAAGTTTGCTATACTCTTAACCTTGTCTGCAAATAATGCCGTCTCCTGTGGTGCTAGCAGGTAAGAGGGGGTGATCAAATTGCAAATATAAATGCTGAAAAAGAGGCAACTAAATGTCATCATCAATGCCTTAAGGTGGTGGAATTGGTTGGTTTTGATGGGAGTAGCAGTAGCGAAGTGGATCTTGTTTTGCACATACTTGAGGTTGCCGTATCATTGGAGAAGATAATTATTGATCCTCGTCCTGTGTTAAATTCTATAAATCCACTGAAAAGAGCTAAGAAATTGAAGATGCTAGAGAGTGTGCTAGACAGCTAAAAACAATATTACTTGATTCTGTTGAATTAGTGATTCTTTAGTTAAATAAATAAATATTTAATCCCCTGTTGATGTTCATGTTTATATGTGCTAAGTTAAAGCTAAGTTGTATAACTGGGTTTGCAAAGTTTAACATAAATTATTAAATTTCTTCTCTCACAAATCTAATTCTTTGTTGAATTTCTATTATCGACTGTACGTTCTTTTCACACACCCAATGCAGTTCAAGCAAATTTTATTATTTATTTCATCGAATCTTTGTTTTATTTGACTATCCCTCTCTATGGCTTCATGGACAGAGAAAGCACCATGTCTTCTATTAGGGAGAGTAACAATTTCTAGTGATTATTTACTTAAATAGCAGGGATTACAACTGAAAAGTGAAGCTAAGCCTCTATGATTGACTTTGGAATGTTGAATTTGCAGTTCGTTTGTATAAAATGATCATCCCGATTTTAATTTTTATATTTTAATCAAACCAAGAACGACTTCGTATTTGGACAATTGAGTTCCTATGTTTTTTAGGCTGCACTAACATCCTTCTAATAGCAACCAAAATCCATTCTTCAAATAATTATTGAAAAAAGAAATTTGTTCTTGTGCTTTATATTGCAACTTTGAGGACAAATGCCCTCAAAAACCTATTGTTTTCAGCAATACATGAATGCTTTGGTAGGCGGCTCAATTTAATTTGAGGTTTTAAGGGGAAAATAAAAAGGTGGCCTTTAAGGATATTGGAATATGTGAATGAAATTTGCCCGTGTTTATATATATCACGTTAGACTAGAACGTAAATATGAACTATTGCAATGTGAATATCTCGGTGTAAATGTTATTGATAACAACCAAGAGGTGTGATGTCACAGGCTAACCAATACAACTCAATGAACCATTGTAACCTACTTCAAGTGTCATCACTGGTTATGAGACGAAGAGTTACAACTTAAAAACTAGGCACATAACGTGTTTAATGTGATTGGTGCCAACCCTTTGAAGTAGACGTGTTTGGTGACAAACAGACACAAGTTTATAAATACCCCTGGATTCAATTGCAACATGCACCATTCAGAATCTTCTTATTTATGAATTCTCTTTCTTTCTCTCTGCCTTTCTTCTTTGCATACATATAGTTTTAGGTGTGAGTTTGAGTCTGGTTTATAGAGAAGGTACTACACCGAGTGGTTCGCCCATTTCTTCAGTTTGAAGTGCTATTACCGAAGAAAAAAATGTTGTTGTATCCTAGGAGACAAACGCTATAAAGTCCGTCAGCACCATAGCAGAGCGAATCTGTCTGAAGGACATAGAATCAAGCATCGGCCTACTAATAGGTTCTTTATATATATAGTTTATTAAACTATTATTCTCATTTATAGTTATATTTTAAATTTTGTATAATTTTTAAATAGCTATAATTCAGTATTTTATACATATATATTGAGTACTTAATTTTTTTCAACAATCTCAAGACAAATTCCTATTGTTATTTAAATATTATTTTGTAATATTATATTTCTGTAAATTAAGTTGTGGTCTGTGTATGGCAAGTATGAGTACAACTGTGCCTAATGTTTGGGGAAAAGCCCGAAAAGTTTAATGGGGCAAATTTCAAAAGGTAGCAACAGAAAATGATGTTCTACCTTACAACTCTGAACTTGAGCAAGTTTTTAAATGAGACTGCTCCAGTGGTGCAAGAGGGTGAGACAAGCATAACAAAAGTAGTAGTTGTTGATGTATGGAATTAAGGAGATTTTCTATATAAGAATTACAGCCTCAATTGATTGGACAACACATTAGATAATGTGTATAGTCTAATTAGTATTGCTAAAGAACAATGGGAGTCAATATAAAACAGAGGATGCTGGTTTGAAGATATTTGTGGTCGGACGATTTCTTGACTTCAAAATGGTGGACTCCAAAACTGTTATAAGCCAAGTGTAAGAGCTCCAACTAATCCTACATGAGATACATGCTGAGAAGGTGACATTGAGTGAATATTTTCAAGTAGCTTCAATCATTGAAAAATTGCCACCTATTGGAAAGATTTAAAAAATTACTTTAAGCATTAGCGTAAGGAAATGAGGCTCGAAGACCTGATTGTCAGGTTGAGGATAGAAGAAAATAACCGCATATTTGAAAAGAAATCCAAAAATTCTTCAATGGTGTTAAAGGCAAATGTGGTGGAACTTGGGCAAAAAAATAAAAAGAGGAAGCACTCTGGACAATGTCCCAACCAAGGAAACTATAAGAGGTTCAACGAGAAGTGCTACGTGTGCGACAAGCAAGGACACCGAGCTAAAGACTATCGTAGCCGTAAAGCACAAGATAACTCCAAGAAGAAGACCACTGAGTTGCACATTACTGAAGAAGATAAATTGACAGCTGATGTGTTAGTGCTAAACTTTTCAGTTGTGGTTTCAAAAATCAATCTTGTGGGCAATGCTAGATAATGGTGGGTGGACACAGGAGCTACTCGCCATGTTTGCTCAAAAAAGAGGATGTTCACTACCTATGAAGCCATAAATAATGGGGAATAACTCTACATGGGGAACTCTTCTACTGCCAAGGTTAAAGGACAAGGAAAGATTAAGCTGTTAATGACCTTTGGCTCATGCTCCAGTAAGAAGTCTATTACTGCTTGTCCTTTAATGGTTTTCCTATGCTCATATGTTATGTTAAAAGAGCTTAGTTCGATCGCCCACTTTGTGATTCTTCTGGATAGATCTGGCTTCCGTAAGATGGGTCATATTGGATAGTCTGTTGGCACGATGATCAAATGAGATTCAAAATAATGTCTTAGTTTCCTTTTTGCATTCACCAAGACCAAGATGAATTTTTCTGTCTTCGAGTACCTCTTCTCAGTATCTGTCTTGCTTGCATAGAATACTGGACTTTGCCTTTGGTCGTCTTCTCTTCGAGGGTAACACTTGTAGCTATTTTTGACAATGCTAAATATAAGTATAATGTCTCTGCTTGCCTTGGTGCAAATAGGTTTGGTGGGTGCTGCACGTACACTTTCAACTTAGCCAGTGCTTCGTGTTGCTCTTCCTCCCATGTCTGTTTTCCTTTGCTCCTAATTGTATCAAAAAAGGATTTGCACAAATTTGACAGTCGTGAGATAAATTTATTAAGGGCAGCTATCCTCCCAGTGAGAGTTTGAATGTCTTTGAGGGTCATTAGTTTTTCATTTTATATCAAGGCTTGGGCTTACGTGCGACTTACTTAAATCCTTTTCAATTCATAATGTGGTTGATAGGCGCTGAATATTGCATATTCGAGCCCTTAAACTTGCATATGTTGTAACCTTAAGTGATACTTCTATCCATTTTATACTTATTTTAGTATGTTTGCCTTTTATAGGTGATTTCCCAAAGAATAGGACAAAATCGTGATTCTGGAGCTTAAAGATTGTTTATGAAGCTTATGGAGTTGTACCAGACCATCTGAGGCAAGTTTGGAGTCAATCAGTGGAGTTTGGAGAAGTTTAAGTGCCATAGCTTGAGCACAGGAAGCTGTGCTTGAGCACAAAATGGACTGAAATAAGAAAATTGCCTAAAGCAAAAATGCTTGAGCACAATATTTTTTGCTCGAGCACAAATTCCAAAAGCTCGAGCATTTCTCAAATTGCTCGAGCACAAATGCCCTGGGGAGATCAAAAGACGCTTCGAAAATCTAAGATGCACAAGCTTGAGCATTTCTCAAAAAGCTTGAGCACAAGTTCAAAAAGCTCAAGCATAAGATTTTCTGCTCGATCATAACTTCAAAGAAGATCAAAAATATTTTAAGTGTTGAAGAAAAAGATGTTTCGGAAATTGTTTGAAGAAATTTGGCTAAGTATGTAATTAATGCTCGAGCCTTTTCCAAAAAGCTCGAGCACAATGTCACGGACTTGAACCTTTCCAAGCTCCCGTGCAGCTTTAGACACTTTCAAGCCCACTTGAAGTGCTAAGTCAGCCTACCCGAGTGTGCTAGCTTAGTGAAGACTAAGGCTAGACAAGTGCTTTGCTTACTTGGGTGTGTAGGAAGAGATTAAGCAAGTGAGTAAGAGAGTTTGGGAATGTATAGAACTTGTATTGCTTGAGAGGAGAGATTACAACTTGGTTGCTTGGTGAGGAGCAAATGAATTCACACCTCCTATTTATAGGCCTTTGGCCTTACAAGAACATTCTAGATGTATACAAATGTGTGGCCTAGATTAAGTGTCTAGAACCCTCCAAAGAAATATTTACACTATTCTAGAATTATGTACAATGCTCAAGACAAGTCTAGAGAATTCTATACAACTCTAGACAAGTCTAGAAAAGGCTAGACAATTCCACACTAATCTAGAGAATTCCGGAAAGTTCCATACTTGTGTAGAGAAGTCTAGAAAGCTCTGGTCCATACAGGCTCCATGTCATTGTCTACTGGGCGTCTGCGTGGTGCCTGCGTGGCGTAGCCTCTTGATTGCGGGGCGTGACAACAAGCTAAAAAGCTCGAGCACAAAATTTTGTGCTCGAGCATTTTCATGCCAGGCAAATTTCTTAAGTGCGGGAATAATTCTAATTATATCCTATTAAGTCCCAAACGGTCCCAGATGACCCCATAAGACCTAAAGCCCATCCAAGAAGGGATAGAAGTCAGTTACTTCTATAAAAGAAGGTGAAAGGCCATAGAAAAACTCTGTTGCAATATTTTAGATCTAGCGGCGGCTTTTAGGGTTTTTGGAGTTCTTTTTGAAGAATTGAAGAAGAAGATCCACAGAAGAGGAGTTGCAGTCCATAGAGATGCTTTTCGCACCAACAAAGATGATATTCCCCATCTTTTAGGGTATGGATGTAACCCAAATCTAATTACTATGGTTTGATTGTTCTAAACTTTGGGATTTTTTAGTATTTATATATAATTAATTGCATGATTCTTGAGCAATTGACTTAAATCTTCTAAGCAATTGGGTTTTTAATGGAATAAAATTGGTTTTTGATAAATTAATCTCTTGTCTTATAATTAAATTTTCATTAATC